ACAGATGATGGACAGAAAATTTATAAAAAGCCCGGCCCGAACCCGTTTTTGTACAGGTCTACTTGAACTATACATTGAACAACCATAAAATACGTCTTAAATATAACGACGGTTGTAATTAAGTTGATTCAATATAATAATCATCCACATAAATAAAATAAAATCTCAATACGTAATGTAATTAAAAATATATATGTATCAATAACTATATGAAAAATTGAGTACTGAATCAAAATTAAGCAGTGGCTTAATGGCATTGATATGGTGCAAACTTCATTCAACTCAGCTTTTTAGTATAACTATATGTTCATTCTGGATTGTCTCCACACGATTGGCTAGAAATTCATTTTGCTTTTTAGTAGTATTCAACTCAGCTTGAAGTTCTTCTTTACTAGGTTGCGTCCTGATTATATCTCTACGCTTTATTCCTCCTCCATAACCAACAACCTGGTCTTTAGACTTGGACTTGAAAACCTTTTGTGCTGCCTATATATAAGAAGAATACAATATAAAAATCCTATAACATGAATATTGATTGCACCGCTCAAGAAAACTATTTAAACTATTTACTGTTCAGCTTGTGAAGTCAAGATGCTAGGTAGAAAGAGAGAAATGGGACAATATACCTCTACATTAGAAAGTGAAGGATCATTTTCCATTGTCTCACGAATTTCTTCCTGCAAAATAAAGACCATAAACAAGAACTACAAACTGCTTGCAACAATATCAGTTTTAATGGACTTCATTTCATTCAATATAGAACACGTGTTACCTCACATTTACCATCAAGAACACGTACTATAACTCCCAGCATTTTAATGCATATTAAAAACTCACTTTAATGGAAGCAACACTACAATCTCACATTTCATTCAATACATGTTTTCACGGACTTCATTCTAGCGTAAATTGAAACTTAATTTACTGCCAACAACAACACATACTATAACTCCCATCATTTTATTTGTGTGTGTGCAGTGACAAGTCTAGGCATCAGAGCACAATGCATCCACATCAAGCATAATAAAAAGTTATTGAAGTTTTATATATACACATTCAAAAAATGTTATTCATTAGTCTTTCAACATAAACAATAAAACCCTCTTTAAAAACCAGGGATCTTTTAATGAAAGCAAAACAGAAGCTGAAAATGATTAAATTACTATTGTTCGAAACATAAGAAAATAATTCAAACATAAGAAAATAATACGTGGAAATAATGATACTTCAAGTAGTTAATTAAACGAAAAATGACTAGTTAAAATTTAATTGTTTTCAACAAGGATCAAAACAAAACCAGTTAGCATTAAGAAATATCTTTAGGTAGATGAAAAACAAGTTCTTTTTGTAAGGAAAAAGGTTTATTTTCATAAACAGGTGGACAAACAATAAAAAAATGGGCATACATGTTTTTATGTTGTCTCCGCATTCAGAAGCTTATCACCTTTCTTGCGATTGGTGTAGAAGACATCAACTAAATTAGGATCATTGCCTTCACTTGCACCCTTTAAAAAACACAATTATTTATTTTTTCAATTGTAAATAAATGAACCAAATATAACATCTTGTAAAGGCTACGATAATCCACAAAATTTCATACCAAATCATCCCAAATGATTTGCCTAAAAGGCTTGCTCCCTGTAAGGTGCATGAGTTCAGTAGCATAACAACCCCTATTAGAAGAGTTTCTTTTACTTCTTTTCTGAAACAAAATCTCATATTATTGCATATATATAGTCACACTAGAGAGTGAGGATTCTACAATGTATTCAACGAGTTTACCTGGAACTCTGGATTCGAATAGATCTCTCTGATAAGCCACTTCCACTCATCCTTGTCAAGTCCCTTAGGTGGAATAGCGTTATATGCAGCTTTTAGGGTCATATTCTTTTTTGTCATATTATTCCTGAACAAATCCGATCTTCAATTTGTCCACAGCTCTTTCATATGCATAAGAGTATGCTCTTTGTAAACTTCTATGTTACGTTCTCATTACTAAAGACATCTTGTAGTATCAAATTATAAACATATCTTAAATAAATAAACTCAGAAATTATAACAGAAAATTAATAAGTTAATAAGACCCAAAAATGAATAAAATGCTTAAAACAATAATAAATTAGAATTAAGAAGGAAACTCAAAGCTATCACATGTGTTCTTTTTCTCTTTCTCCTATGTCATTCCATTTGTGCACTTTCAATGGGCACATATTTGTATCTCGTACGATAATCCCCAAATGTCTCGCCCATACATTGTGATTATTCCCAACCGCTCGATTATTATAGAAAGTTATTTCAAGTTTTTGACCAGGTTTAAGCCTCGCTACCTCTTTACATTTATTTCTTCCTCTCCTCTTCTCAATCCCAGATTTCTTGTTTTTCGTACCAGATCCTTGACATTCAACCACGAAAACATATGGATCAAAGCTTTACATTGTTGTAATAAACCAATTTCACAATATGACTATGGAAGTTCTAGATTTGAACTTTATTTATTAAACAATAACTTATTATCAGTACACAAGTTATGTCTGTTTCTTAAGTTCTAGAAAGTATAAGTTAGCATATTTTGAAATAAATTAAAGTGTATTATATATCATTTGAGAAATCTGATATAATAAATCTGGGACTTATTTTGAAAATTCACTTGCAGAGGTGAGCCATATAGGAAAATATATGTAAAGTAAAGAGTGGCACATGTTACCATTTAGATCTTGTAAAATTGTTTGCCCTTCCTCCACTTCAGTGTCACCACCATCACTACTTTCTGTCGTACTCGAACTTTCTATCCGAGTTCCTTTTTTTTAGTACAAGAGTCATCGCCTTCAACCAAGACAACATATGATTGAAGCAGTAAACAATAAGTGATAAATGAGATATATCAAGACATTTATAATTTATAATGTCAAACCATTACCAATTGGATCTTGGGTAAATGTCGGATCTACCTCCATTTCATTAGCATCATCCCAAGTGTTTTTGCCTCTCTCTTTTTCTATCCCAGTACTCTTCTTAGAAGTAAATGAGCTACCACCTTCAATATTTAAAGTGTTAAATATTATAAGTACAAATAACTTCAAATAAAACTAATTATGAATGTCACTCTTACCATTGCTTTCTCTACGAACTCCCTGATAGAACTCTATTTCATTCTCACTGTCATTATCAACAATGGTTCTTTTTCTCCTTTTTCAAATGAGGTATTCTTATTATAAGTAAAAGAGCGACCTGCTTAAACCAACAAAAAAATAGAATTGAAGAAGTATTAATGAAAACACAATATAAGAAAAACTAAAATAAATTTTTTCATGCCAAACCTTTATCATTTGAATGTCCTGTATCCTCATGATGCAAATTTACTTCATTGTCACAAACATCATCAAATATGTTATCACCCCCATTCAGAACATTTGTCCCTCTCAGACTCTCAGTCTGAACTTTCTTCTTTGAAATCCAAGAGCCACCGAATTCCACTAAAATCAAAGTAGCCATTAATCATTTTCCCATTTAGGTGTAGTAAAAATGTGGATAGTGAGTGATACATGGATATTGAATCTTGCATTTATTTTTATTTCACTTCCTTTACTGATGTGCATGGTTCCTTTTCTAGTTTAATAAAAGAGTGCCTCAAATAGCCTTAAGCATCATGATGAGATTCTTATTGTTGTGCCTCAAATAACAATTGAAAGTTAGATCAGGAGACTGAATTTTTGTAGCTGAGTAGTTCTTATAATAAGTAGTCCAAAATGAAGAATTAAGTGCTGGACACTACTGATCAGCAGAACATTACCGATTGGATCTTGGGGAGATGACAGATTGACTTCCAATTGACTAACATCGCCAAAGATGCTTCTTCGCCTCTTCTTTTCAATCACAACATTCTTTTTTGAATTACCAAAGTCACCTCCTTCCACAATGAGAACATATGGATTAAGACTGGAATAATAGAAGTAATATAGCAGCAAAGAAAACAACTAATAAATGCTTTAATATGAACATTTTCAGCTTAATGTATTAAATCATAAAAGAAAAACTGCAAATAAACCAAATGTTGACAACATACCTTTATCATTTCTTTCATTTAAAAGGATCTGATATAACCCTACTTTATTCTCATTAACATCATCAACAATATTTCTTCCCCTCTCTTTTTCAAATGCAGTATTTAGCTCAGAAGTAAAAGAACCACGTCCTAAAACTATGAAAGGTTTGGATTAAAGTATTAGATCATAAAGCAAAATATAAAAAAATACAAACATTATTGAAATTCCAAACCTTTATCATTTGAATCTCCTAGAACATTCGAATGTATTTCCACTTCAGCGTCATTAAAATCGCTAGATATGTCATCACCCTCCTCATGAACTGACTTATTAGAAGATAAATCCCAATTTTTCATGTTGGAATTAATTTGAGGGAAAATATGTAATGGATCGAAGGGAGCTTCAGTAGGATAACTTTTGGCAGAAAGACCTTTGGAATAACTTTTTTTGAATCACTTATCGCCTTTGAAAGATCACCACTACTAGTCCCCATGAATGACTTGGATCCAATGTGACTTTTGGAAGAAGATATCAAATCAAATACTTTTTGGCCGCATCCCTTTGCCAACATTTGAGGTGGCACATAAGACCTTTTAGATCTTGGCATAGAAGTCTTAGATGTATTATCATTAAGATGAAACATTTCCCTGAATATTAGTAAAAGATATATTATCTTAGAATCTAGCCAATGATATACTAGTTAATTCCATGAAAATATAGTACAACCTAATAGAAATGACAAAAAATGTAATTACGTTACTGGTAACTGATATAAATAAAATTACTTACTAATGTTTCACACACAAGACTGCTCCATAAAACTTGACATGTATAAAGTATAAATGAAACTTTCACACAATTAAAATATTCAAATTTAAAACTATGAATTAAAAAAAACTGCAGTACAGAGCATTTTTTAAAAGCAACTGCTAAGAAACAAACTATTACAAACTATTCCTCTCTTCTCCTTTTGTGGCATCCTTTTTCAGTAGTCCTCCTCTTTGAAATATCTTCCACGACTTCCGGATCAATATCAACTCTACTTTTATATACTTCAGCACTTGCAGTTGTTGATGATGAAGCAATATATGCAGTTGGGAACAATTCACTACATTGGTATGCATCACCTTTGTTGCTTTTATCATTGTCATCGTCTTCCATGTCACAAAATATGTGGGGCCGATTTTTTACCACAAGCTGCCATCCTTTGTTAGCGTTGTAAGTGACATAGAAGACTTGTCTCGCTTGACTAGCCAAGATAAACGGCTCAATCGTTTTCAATTGCTTGTTGGGATTAACACTAACAAAGCCATACTCATCTGTTTTAATACCTCTAACCTTGTCATGCACATCCCACCATTTACAGCGGAATAACACTACACGGTTCCCCTCATGATATTGCATCTCTAATATTTCAATGACTACTCCGTAATAGTCAATATTTTCATGTCCATTCCCTGAATTTCCCATCACAACTACCCCACTATTTTGTGTTCTCAAAGTCCTCTCACGACTTTGTATGTGAAACCTATATCCATTAACAATATAACCACTACAAGATGTCACATATCGTGTTGGTCCGCGAGACAATGTTAGCAAATTCCTCATATCTTGTGTCTTAATACTCTCACACAACCGTGTAACCTAGAAAGAGGAGTTAACCAAATAAGAATGTAATAATTTAAAATGTTCATTGCTCCAAATATTTAATAAAGATGCTACTTACTTCATTCTTGAACCACCTCTTAAAACTCTCCCACCATTCATTTTCAGAGATTTTAGGACCATTTGAACCAAGAGACTTTGAATATTCTCTGTAAAATATTACATAATAAGTTAATTAAATTGTGTGACTTGTAATAATAAAATGGAAGAAAGTTGTGAACTCTTGATTTCGTACTCTTCAAAATATAAATGTGGGCTTGATCCATCTCATGCTTTTCAAGAGATATAATAGAAGGAGATCCTAAAGCACAACCCGAATGAGTAAAAATGGACAAGGATTCATCACAACCATATGCATTTTCGTAATTTCGATCAAGACGGTTGAATCTTGTCTCCATACTATGCATATACCTTGAGCACACTGTCATACACTCCTCTTCCAAATAACTCTCCGCAATGGAAGCCTCTGGATGAGCCCTATTTATTCCTAATATATTATTTAAGATTGTACATGTATTGTTCGATAGAATACATCCATCTGAATAAAACTGACCCTCCAACTTTAGCTTCATTGATTAAATGAATTGTTAAATGAATCATAACATCAAAGAAGGATGGAGGGAAGATCTTTTCTAATTTGCAGAGAGTTATTGGAATTTGTGTCTCTAGATGCTCCAAATCAGCAACATTAAGTACTTTAGCGCATAATATACTAAAGAACATTGACAGCTCAATGAGTGCTTCACGTACAAGTGGAGTGAGAAGACCACGCATTGCAAAAGGTATAAGATGTTCAAGTAGTATGTGGCAATCATGGCTCTTCAAACATGATATTTTAGCGTCCTTGGTGTTAACACAATAAGAGATGATTGATGAGAAACCATCAGGAACTTTTAAATTTTTTAAAAACTCACAGAAAGCTCGCTTTTCATAGGGGGACAAAGTATATGGAGCTGGAGGTATCTTGAACTTATCTCCATCTTTGATGAGGTGTAATGTAGATCTCAATCCCATTGCTTCCAAATCAAGGCGTGACTTGAAAGTGTCTTTGGTCTTTCCTTTGATGTTCATAATAGTCCCAAGAATACTATCACATATGTTCTTCTCAATATGCATCACATCTAGGTTGTGTCGTAATAGAAGTGTCTTCCAATATGGAAGATTAAAAAAAAATACTTTTTTTATTCCAATTATCCCCTCTAGCTTCATGAGATATTTTTGTTCTCACGCTAGGATCTTTGGACAGTATGATGTTCTCCAAATCTTTCAGCCGGAGAAGAATATCATTAACTCAACAAGGTTTTGCAGGTGCACTCCGCTCACTACTAGAAAACTGGCTTACAGTGACACTTTTTTAATGATACTTTTTCTAATAGTGTCACAAAAGGATGACATATGAGATTCCTAACAAATATGTGTCGATGTTTCATGACACAAAAGTATCAATAAATATAGTGATGTTAAATGAAATTTTTGATATCGTATTTCCCTGTCCTTTTTTAAAATTTCGCCCAAATTTTACTCCAACCCTAGGCTATCCGCTTCATTGCTTCATCGTGAAATTCTTAAAATTAGCTCTCAGCACATAACTGTTCTCCGCCTTCTCTCTTCACCGGTGGAGTCGTTCTCACGTTCTACGCCTGAGCGGCAACGATGCCACCGGCGGTGGAGCATGAATTGGCCACCGGACCTAAAGCTTCATCCTTTGCAGCAGCGGTAAGAGGTATTCTCCCCGGCCGACGCCTGGACTCCCACCAGCTCCTTTTCTCCAAAGTAGACTTCCAGGGTTTTCCGGTGAAGTTGCACGGCCGATTTAAAGGTTTTCCGACTGTATCGTTCACTGGTGACGACATTCAGGTATTATCCTCTAAATACCGATTTTCCCTGGTCGGGACCTTCCTCCTCAAAATTATACTGCTGATAGTATGTGTGTTGACGCAAATAAGGTGCGGTATTTACGAAATAAGGAACGTCAAAGTATTGGAGTTTTTAGAGTGGTAAAACAAAACCCTAACAGCCGCAGAGCAATTGCCCCCAGCAGATGAAATACGGACTATCATCCAAGCCTCCAAGGGTTGGTCTCCCAAGCTATGGAGGCCCTCCGGCAACAACTGGAGCATGATCGAAGGACATCGCATGCCTCCACATGAGTCTCCGAGCACATGGATAGTCGGGGGATAGACTTTGGAGATCGCAGGAACAACACCACTGACCAACTACTAGGACACTACTTTGCTTCGAGTTGGGAGCCAGCACACCTCTGCAGATCCTCACGAGGTTAGCTGCTACAGAAGGCTTCGAAATCTCTATTGAAAGAAAAAATCAATTCTATATTTATTGCAGCTCTATTCATATATCTAAACCGAAAATGGACTTACATCTTCTATAGATCCTGTTGACATTCTAGTTTGCTATCAGGTTGTTTTATGAATCTCAGTCTCATTATAGGTTCGATTTTTTTTATTCTGCTCACAAAGGAACAATTGATTAACAATTTGAATAGGATTTTATAAATCATTGTGCAGGACCGGTAACCGCAGGAGACGTTAGTATGTTTCATTTGATTCAATTCAAATATTCCAGACTCATGAGTTGTTCTCTCATAGTGGACTGTTTGTCTATGACTTCAAAGGTGATGAGTCTTGGCAGGTGTGTGATGATTGTGTGTTTAACAATTCATAGTTTTCTTTCAATTGACAGTTTAAATTAGCTTATATTTTGTAGATTATGACTTGAAATGAGGTTTTCACAGACTATCAAAGCTTCTCTGCTTTTTTGGCCAAGTTTTATGATGTTCAAGATCCTAGCCCTTTCTGTCATAAATGAGGATAAAAGTATGAAATTGAACTTTATAAATGAGGTATAGTCCCTTACCCTGTTCTTGGGATTAATCATTTCTTCATTACATTTGCTTCAAAAAATTTTATTTGCATCAAGTGATAATGTAATTTTCAGTAAAAATCTTTCTGAAAAAAAAAACAAAATGGGATAGTGTTTTGAGAAAATCAGTGTAAATCGTAACGTGCGTGATATATTGGATGAATAATATAGGAGAATAAAATGCATATTTTCAGACCACATTGAGCTATTGAAACTTTCTAAACACACCACTGATACTCTCAGTTTGGTTGGTTGATTCGCATTTGAAATTCTGGTTTGGAAGCTAAGCTGCTCTAGTGTTATTTTTTCCTAAATTCAAAATGTTGATATGATGGATAGTGGAGCTCATATTTTTTGTCCAGACCTTTCAGATGAAACCTTTAGATACGTGTTAGTAGTATCTCCACAGTAGAACCTCTAGTTAAGATTTACTCTAGTTATTTATATTACAAACTACAAAGTACTTATTTTATTATAACTTGGTAAAGTTTTACAGTTTTTTTAATTTGTTTGGGTTCAGTTTTCAGAAAAAACAGATTATTTGATTAATGATAAATGCACTTTATTTGAAGTACATTTTAATCATACTTTATTTGAAGTACATGTTAGGGAGCACCTCTTCAATATTGGTATTTCCAACTATGTGCAGGTTTTTGTTATAGACCCCAAACTTTTTTAGGACTAAAGATTAGATGTTGTTTTGGATGTTTTTTGCAGGTGACATTGTTTCAATTAACAAGATGTATTGTTTTGGATCTTGTTGTGCAAGTGATATTGTTGCAATTAGGAAGATGTATACTTGGAGGAAAAGCGTTCTTTTGAAAGTTTCTGTTGTTAATTTCTACTAAGTTAGTAATCTTTGTTTTATTTTTTAAAACTATAACTTTTAAAGGTTCTCTATTGATTTAAACAGCTTGTTAATATAAAGGTTCTCAATATATATTCAATTTACTTCTCTGTTAATATATTTTAAAACTATATTTTGTACATGTAAAGTGACTGATTTTGAAGTTTATATGTGTTTAGGATACCTTGGATATTGATCGTCACCATAATATGTTGGCATCTCATCAGAAGGCGATTGAAAGGAAGTCAATGTTGGCTGAATGGCTGGTAAATCATTCTGTGTTCATTTTTCTCGTAAGCTACTTGATTTCATGTGGCATTGGTAAACATGTGTATTATTCTTCAGTTTGATTATTATCTTTCCTAGAGTTTTTCCGTTTTTGTCTCCATTATGCTATGTTCCTCACCATTTAACCTGTAGCCTTTCATCTTAATCGTAATTTCATCCCATGTGAATAGACACCTCTCACAGACGAACACATTCTGTTAGTGCATGTGAGTTGACTGAGTTCTTCTCCTAAATGTCACATTGTAGTTAGTGCAAGATTTTCTTATTTAAGGTTTGAGGTTAAGTTGAGTTTCTCATTTAAGATTTGAGGTTTTATGACTTCTATCCTAAAAAGTTTTTCTTGTGATTAGACTTTGAATGGCAAATTAAGGGTAAGGAGTACAAATTGCCCTATTAAGGGTAAGCCTTGTGCTAGAAGGTATTTCTTATATAAAAAAACATCTACATGCATGAAAATGAGTAAATGAAGTTTTTGCTAAAGATGTTGTCATTTTTGCAATCTGTTTTCAGCTTGCTATGGGAATTATTAACAGCAAGGGGGCACTTATTGCTCCATGGACGGTTGAAAAATCTTAAAGGAGCGGTCTTAAAGAAGGTAAGGGATTCCCTTGATTGGATGTTTTCTTAATATTTTTTTCGTTAATGCTCTTTTAAGATAACATATACATGGACTACATTTTTTTCATATTACAGCTATTAAATCTCAAGAGTTATGGTCACTTTAGACTAGACAGTTTACTTGGTGTGACTAACACAAGTAAAGAAACAATAAGCTGGACTCTACCTTCTTTAAATGAAAATAAAATAGCGGTGGTGATAAGTTTTGTAAAAGCAATGTTAAGTTTTTATTTTGGTGTTGCTTTAGTTCTCCACGATGAATGAGTACTCTGAAGATGATATTTTGCAAATATGTGAGGAATGAGTCTCATATGCAGCAAACCTACTCAGTGAGTAAGATGAAATTTTATTTATTGAGATAAGTGTGTTAAGAATGTAGTTTTCACTAATTAGGATTGTCTGTAGTATGATGATTGAAATAATTATCATTATTATTTTTACAGACTTCAGTGACGAATGTGATGAACGGTGCTAGCTGGATTTTTGCTAAGCTCGTATGCATTATGGCGGTTAAACAAATGGCTGGAAGGACATAACATTTTGATGTTTGTGATGTACTTTATGTGTTTCCAGAACATATGTAATGACTAATTTATGTTTACAACCCTATGTAGCTAGACTAGAATTCAAGAATATTGGTATTTTGGATTTTGCTTTGTCTCCAAGAACAAGTTAACTTGTCTTTGAAAATTTTCATGTTGACTTTGATTTGGATCTAAATGACGATTAGTAAGTTATGGGATACTTTGATTATGAATTTTTTTTATATTTGTCTACAAGCTTGAAAATTAAACTGTTAAGTGGATATGGAGGTGCAAAAAAAGTATTAAAATTGTTCAATAGTTGTTACTATAGTATCATAAATCTGGATGACGCAAGAGTATCAGAGGTTTTTGTAACATTAGTGATATCACTAATTTATATGATATCAAAGTGTCGTTAAGTATACCAATGCGAATGTATCACTATATTTTATGATACTAACGTGTCACAATTTAGTGACACTTTTTAGTGACACATTTTTTAGTGTCAGAGTTCCAACCATTCGTTGACACTTTCGCGGTGTCACTAAAAGTTTTAGTGACACTAATTTAGTGTCACTATAGACCATTTTTCTACTAGTGGCTCAACTTGTCCATCAAAGGAATCCCTCTCCTTCCTCCATCTGTGGTTTTTATGAAGATAACGTCGATGACCCATGAAGCATTCCTTGCCACCTTTAGGTAACCTCATTGAGCGTGTATCTTTAAGACAATATGGGCATGCTAATTTTCCCTTTGTGCTCCATCCAGATAACATTCCATACGCTGGAAAGTCATTAATGGTCCAAATTAAAGCCGCGCACATCTGAAAATGGGTTTTTGTAGACGCGTCAAAGGTTCGAACACCGGTTTCCCAAAGATCTTTTAATTCTTCAATTAGAGGTTGCAAGTATATGTCAATAGCATTACCAGGACAACTGGGGCCAGGAATAAGCATCGATAAAATCTTATTAGACTGCTTCATACAAAGATGAGGAGGCAAGTTATATGGAACAAGCATCACCGGCCAAATGCTATACGATGTTTTTGAATTTGCAAAGGGCTGAAAACCATCACTAGCAAGTCCAAGCCTCACGTTTCGAGGATCAGCCGCAAAGTCAGGGTGATCTTTGTCAAATGATTCCCAACCAGATCCATCAACTCGATGTCTCATTGTACCATCTGTCTTCCTTCTATTGTGATGCCACTTCATCAAAGGAGCAACTTTCGAACACATAAACAATCTTTGCAACCTTGGTTTTAATGGGAAGTACCTTAGTGTCTTCGATGGTATTTTTTTACCATTTTTGTTATGCTTCTCTTCCCCATTATGCTTATCAATTTTCCATCTTGATGCGCCACATGTGTTGCACATATCCAAATTTTCATCCTCCTTCCAATATAGCATGCAATCGTTGATACAAGCATCAATTTTTTGATAAGATAACCCAATGTCTTTCATGATCTTCTTTGACTCATAATAAGAATCAGGCAAGTTTGATCCATCAGGCAAAAGCTCTTTCTTCAAAAACTCTAGGAGCATAGTGAATGACTCGTTGCTCCAATGACCAATAGTCTTGATATGAAGAAGTTTCAAAAGTGCAGACATTCTTGAACTCTTGCACCCTTCATTCACAAGATCTTGTGAATCCCTTAAGAGACTGTAAAATCTCTTTGCATCAGTATTTGGATCCTCAATACTATTTTCATCCAAGGGAAAATCACCATCATAATGCTCGGGATATAGATCTCTTAAAATAAAAGGAACTTCATCTTCATCTTCATCTTCATTCCCTTCTAAAGTATCAACACTTTGAGACACCGATTTTGGCTCATCCAAACTTTCCCCATGGTGATACCAGAAGGTATACCTCTTGATTATTCCATAAACTAACAAATGTTCTCTGACCTTCTGACGATCACCAAACTCAGCATTTACACATTTGCAACATGGGCAGCGAACTACCTTAGTACCCAACTTTTGAAAAGCATAGTCTAAAAATTATTAACTCCTACTTCGTATGCATTATCATTAATGTAATCTTCAATGTGCATCCAGTCTTTGTTGGGAGTCATTGTGTTTGAAATAGGGGTATGATAAATTGATAATTACCTAAAACAGAAGAATGAGAAAACATATGTATAGTTGGTAAAACTAAATAATTTAGCATGAATGGCAATTAACATAAACATGGAACACAAAAAGTTGGACCATAAGATAGCATGATAATATATTTAGAAGTGTAAAATTTCACATTTTCTAGTAATATAATATTATGAGTTCTGTACTAGTTTTCATTAACTTTATAATAAGTTTAAGTTTTAATAGTAATATTTAATAATTGGCTAAAGGGTCAAATAGGTACATGAACTAACTTAAAGTGTTCAAATAGCCCCTTATTTAGGAGGTTCTGTCCCGTCGTCGCCAATTGGGGTGATTCTCGACAGAATTTTTTGATGAAATTTTTTGAGAATCTTCTTCATTAAGTCTAGTTTACCCATATCAAATTTCAACTAAAAATTAAATCGGGAAGGCAGTCAATTGATTTTCTGAAATGTTCTGCGCTGTTTAACTGCGCAGTTATCTTCAAAAAATCATTTGACTGTCTTCCCAGTTGAATTTTTAGCTGAAATTTGATATGGGTAAACTAGACTTAATGAAGAATATGCTCAAAAAATTTCATCAAAATATTACACCAGAAACCGCCCCAATTGGCGACGGCCGTGCAGAACCTCCTATATAAGGGACTAATTGAACACTTTAAGTTAGTTCATGTACCTATTTGACCCTTTAGCCTTTAATAATTTGTAATAATTGTGTATTTTTATTCTAATATTCTGTTTTTTTTTTCTCAGCCTAAGCGAGACTTCCATATTACATACATTAATCTTTACACCGAGTAATTTTAAATTGTACTAAAGTCACCATTTTCGATAAAAAAAAAGTAACTCAGTTTTTTCAGTTTAGCCTTAATAACAGTGACAGTTCTTTAAAATGGCAAACATTGATTTTCAAAAACTTTCAGTAAATAGGAGAAAACAATGACTTATCTTATTACCCATGCATAAGTCCTTCTAAGTTGTTTTGTGATTTTTTAAAAGCAAAAGTTTAGACCACTTCGATTTCCACATCTGAGAGGAAACCTAACAGACTATCTATATGTTAGGGGTTCATCCAAAGGAGGTAGTAAACAAAGAAGTTTTTACGAAGTCTACAACAATTGGGTCATTTCTAATGTATATATCATCTATATAATATTTTTATATCTATGTGGAGTGTATTGTTTCCATGCAGTGTAATTATCTTGAAGGATAAACACTCCAAACCTCTACGAATTATATTTACAGTTTCTGATGCATACAAGTTGAGTTGCAGGTGGCCTTAATCATAAAAATCATATACTATGATAAATAAACTAAATTTTAAGCTCTAGGTTGACTTTTGAAATCAGATTACATGTCTAAAAATTACTACAAACCAGATTATGCATAGTTTAAATTGTACATAAGACACACAAACTATAGTTGAATATCAATCTACCAGTAGACAAAAAATTTACAAAAATTTCAGCAGTTAATCGCATTATTCAAATGTAGGGCGTTTAAAATAACTTTAATCAGTTTAGAATAAACTATTACTACAAAATCAGATACACTTTGGACTTAAAAAATCATATCCACTCCTTCTTGAGCTTTGAAAAACTGAATTATAGTAGAGAGTATTAAACAGTACTAATCATTATCAAGAAACAAATTATATATATGTTCAGTAATGTATAACATTTTTGCAGTGTTGATCTCATTTCTGTAAAATAGCAAAATGGTGAGGTCAATGTCATTACCGCTATGCGTTTTAATATATCGACCCAAAATCATTTATAAACTTTTCTATCAAATCCGGTAATAACTTTCCAAGAATGACTACAACATCTAGTACTTATTCTTGGTTTTGTTAGGTCTACGTTAGTTTTTCGTGCTTTTGCTAATACAAAATTTGAATTGTCTCTACAAATACTTTACATATCATAAGCCCCAAGTACATGAACATTGCCTTCTCTTTATAACCTTGTTTCCATCATTGTCGATGGCGCAATATGGCGCATGAGCCATGCGCCATGAGGCACGCTAAACACCTCCGCGCCATGAAAATAAGTTGTGTCGCTGAATATACAACTGGCGACACCATTGTTGCGCCTTCGCCATGGCCTTGCGACTCGTTTTTAAAGAAAAGAGCCCGTATTTGCTTTGTAGTTTTTGGGACATAACAATCTGTGACCCATAACAATATTAAAACTTAACAAAAACTTAATATTTTAGCCCATTGTACTATCAACAACCCTAACAAAAAGTAAATAAGTGCACAAAGTGATAACACTAGAAATTAAAGATGCTGCAGCGCATGAAAAAACAAGAAAAAACTGAGTGACAAACTACAGAAAAGGCAAATGACAAGGGGAAACTAGTTGGCTTCTTCCAACTACAAGAGGTACGACTACCCTCTTTAATGCTCTGTATTAATGAAAAAAATCAGTTTATACAGTTATAGTTTATCCAAAACTGTATATGAATATATATTCCTGAGAATGTGAACTTCATTTACTGCTTCCTGTGCTTCGAGTGTTTCCTGTTAAATTCAGAGCAGCTCAGCCTTTATGTTAAATGCTATGTTACTTTATCAATTAATCAATTTAAATACTTGTAGCATTTTAAAATGAAGTTTATAATTTAGAACTCAAAGTATTTAAATCGATAAGTTGGTACTTTAATTTAGTTTAGACTTCAGAATTTATACTTTAGATGATGTTCACTTTAAAATTTAAATTGATACTTTAGCATTCATACCAAATTATGATTTGAACCAGTACATCTCATGCCTGACACTTTAAGTCATTCTTGTGATAGTTGTGAGAAAATTTCTTGGCTGAAACTTTGTTAAGAACAACTCATAGGTTGATATAAATAACACCAGTGGTGTCTGTTGCTGTCAATTAATTAATTCTCTTGCAAGATTACAAAAATATTAGAGACTTAACTTTCCAAATGTATAAGTCAAAGCTACTCAATTTAATAAAATAAAGATTGAGATTTGATGCAACTCACTGATGTTAGGCTTCTCGATTCCAATAATTCACTACAACTCATTGATATTAGGCTTCTCAATTATTTGAGGAGTTTTGTCAAACACATTGTATGCAAACAAGAATATTGAGTTACTTCATATTTTTTTCACAAACTACTTAATATATATCGATCATCAGTTTCATCACACACATTCATAAGTAGAAATACACTCAGATGTTTACTAACTAACCAAAATCAGTTTCTATGATCATACTTTGGGATGTAAAACACAATTCATATCTAAATATTATTGAAAATAAGAGATAATATTGATGAAAACTGAAAAAACAATGAAGTGGTGGACTACGTACTTACTTGGAGTTGTGGGCGGCTGGGGAAGAGAACGAAAGAAGACTCACGTACATAGGGAGAACATGAGGAGGTAAGCTAGAGGAAAATATTTCACGACTGTAGAAGGGAGTGACCTGATTTTGCGATAAAGTCGGCCGATTTAGAGCAGTAGTCGCCCGATTAGGCACTGTAGCGAGATATAAGACCTGGAGCAATGCTTAATGATCGAGCGAGGCAAGGATTCACTGAGAATCCCTTAAGCCGCAAATCGGCGAGGCGATTCTCTGAGAATCGCAACAGATAGGGCAAATCAGCACGGCAAGAAGATGAGCACGGCGAGGAAGATCGATTAGCAACGTGTTGATCGAATTGAAGATGCAGCTTAGGGCAAAATAATTAAGCCCGGCGACAAACTGAGATTAGGTCTAATTGCCTAGCTCACCGCCTAATGATAGGAGTACGTATGCGACGGACTCCTTGCTTATGGAGCGAAAATATTTGGGATTTGGAAATTTTGGTGCTAGAGTGATGTTTTATTTTCTAATTTTTAGAAAAATAAATTAATTAACAATTTGATTAGTAATAACGATGACTACACATTTTGATTAATAACGATGAGTTTTAATAAATTGTCGTTAATGCTAAATTCAATAATGACGACTTTTGGTGGTTTGCCTTCCGGAGTAAAAAAAAACAATAATGACGACTTTTCATAAATAGTCGTTAATAATAAATTTAATAACGACGAACTCATTGATCATTGTTAAAAGGTATTTTTAACGACAATTTGTGAGAGTCATCGTTATAGGGTGGTCGTTAAAAGTCCTTTTTCTAGTAGTGGATGTGTACATATTTGGTATCCCTTTGGCTTAGTAATAAACTACTCGGTGATACATAAGGCTACGGCTGTTAATGAGCCGAGCCAAGCCCGAACATCCAAAATTCGAGTTCGGCTCGATAAGGAATTAGTACGTGTTCGTGTTCGAGCTCGAAGGTCGGCACGCTTTACAAATGAGGCTTGTTTTCGGCTCGATAGGTGTTCGATGTTCGAACCGAGCGCTCGATAAGCTCGATAAAATGCTCGAGTTTAAAATTTTAGGCGATGCTCGTTAATAGACTCGTGCTCGAATGATTCGACATGTATTCGGTTCGTTAATAATCATAATTAAATTCATAGAATCATACTGCTATATTTAAGTTTTGACATATATAAAAATCGTATTTGTAATTTCAGGTTGTTCAATAGACTCGAGTTCGAACCGAACCGAATAATACTACTATGTTCGAGCTCGACTCGATTAATTTTTCAAACTTAAAACTCAACTCAGGTTCGAGTTAGAAAGTATTATTGTGGATACCGTACTGATCCATCCTTAGTCATTATTTTCGTGGCCTATCAATATGGAACTCCGATTATTGTGGCTAAAAGTGCTAATATACACATTATATGGAAAATTATTTCGAATAACTTTCAATCGGGCCTGTCTAGTGGAAGAGCAACAAGTAAGGCACTTTCCATGAATATTACTACATTTAAATCAAAAGATAAAAATATGGAAAATTTTATAATTTTTCAAAAAAATAACATATTTAGTGACTAGTTTCCGATGGTTCATCATATATCAGTGACTTGTCATTCTGAAATACACCATAATGACTTCTATCCAATTACACGTACATAGTGACTAGTTGCATATTTTGGTCCAAAAAATATATATAGTCATATTTTTGTTCGGGAAAACTCTGTAACTAATTTACATGTCATTTCTTCGACAACAAATGTGTGAGAATCAAATTTAATTAAATGTAACTACGGTTTGTTTTATTAAAAAAGAAACTTATTTAAATGATTTATTCTTCACTTAGTACATACTTTAAATGACACAAGTAGCCAAAAAGGTACATTTCTCAGCTTTTAGTAATTGTTAGATTTTACTGACCGAGAATATCTTTAAAAATATTGAAACTTTAATATAAAAAAGCTTGTTGTTTGATTTACTCTTGTTTGGTGTAATACGCTATTGTGATTAATTAATGCTATAAGGAAGAATCTTATATTCTTATGTGCATTTTCTAGTTTTTGTACTATTGAATAAATCTCTACAAGTTTCTAGTGGTTTGTTAGGTAGGACAGTATTTAAGTGCTTTTCTAAAAATAAAGTATTTTTTGAGGAGGTACACTGGGTAGCATCTAAGAAAAGTCTGTAGCTTTTAACATTAATTAGTCATAACAGCTTCTTATATCAAACAAAACTAATTAAATCAAACAATCAAGTTTTATCAAACAGTTACAATTTTTTCATTTAAAATATTTTCAGTCACTAAGAGCTAAAAGTACCTTAAAAGCTCACGAAAATATATTTTCAACTAGTTGTATCAAATATCGATCCCTATCCATACCAAACATGCCCTACTGGTCTTTTATTCTATACTATTAAATTAGTTTTAATGACAACTACTTTTATTAGTAAAGAATAAGTAAACCGATAAAAGAATAGTTCCAATTATTTAAAAGACAATGTAGAGATTATATTGAGATTTTCCCTTAAACACTAACTCCCCATGTCCCTAACAATTGGACAAGGAGTGACACGCAAACCAATAAAAAGTTATTTATGTGGTTGATATTGAATTGATAAAGTAAAAATAAGTAATAATAATTTACAACTAAACAAACTTTACCAAATTTGATATGAGATAATCTTGGTGGAACAAGTCGAAAAAGTAAAGTGGGATCATCTTAGCGAGGCGGATGGAGTATATACTAAAGTTGATTCCAAAAAGAGCTGGCCACTTTATTTATAGGTAAAAATGTGACTAACAGGTTAATAGATCTGAAAAAACATCTGAAAAAAACATGATATCATTGTCAATTGCTAGTGTCACTCTTGCCGCCACTAGTGTCACTACCGTTGTAGAACAAGTCATTTTGATTTCTCTAATTATTAAAAATAAATATGGAATTCATAAATTTATGACAATCAATAGAATTGAGTCATAAAGAGTCTCTAAATTCCGGGGTGCCGGAATTTTGGCCGGAAGGACGAAGGGTGGTGAGTGGATAATGGTCACGAACTAAATGTGGACAATATGAAAGTAAGGGACTAAATGTGGAAGTGATATAATAGTCACGGGACAAAAGGTGATATTTTTTCGATAAAAAATGAGAAAGGTGCATAAGTCTGTTTGAAAGACATACAAAATGTACGATGATAGTTGAAACAAACTCTACAAGAGAATTACACAGTATACAATATTATTACTCCGTATTACCTTATTCGTTGTCTTCCTTGTATTCCATTCTTATTTGACAATAAATCTAGGGCTTTTGGCAAGAACTTGAGTAGGAATGAAAAACTCAGTCAAAAAAATAAAATGCTCGCAAGTTCACTTGTGAAATTCCATGATCCAAGTGTTGACGGCGCAACAAATCTTGTGAAACCCTTTGAAACCGGATCCCTTAGCCAGGGCCTCAAATTCCTTCTCAGTCCTCTCTTTACCGCCAGGATTATGGGCCAACATGATGACATCAATGTGAACCACATTCCTAGTTGCCGGCGAGGTGTCTGGTAATTCTGGTAAATTACATTCTGCCACAATCAACTTCCCCTTTTCCGGGAGCGCTTCGTAGCAGTTTTTCAAAAATTTCAGGCAATGGTCATCGCTCCAATCGTGACAAATCCACTGCAAATGGATGAGAAATGGCATTAGTATATCACACATGCTTGAAAATTTAAGAAGCTCAAGCAACATATAAGACTAGTAGAGGAAACTTGAAAACTCGACTTGAGTTTAACTATAAAAACAGAATTGTCTATTAACAAAATCAAAGTAAAAAACAACTTGTGCAGTTTATTTTAGTGACAAGTGTTTGTTGACATTAGATTGACTATTTTCTTTTTACTATAAAAAAATCTGCTAGTAGGCTTATAACTACGAACAAATTTTTACTATAAATTCTGCTTGTAGGCTAATAAGTTATAGCTATCAATAGAATTTAGAATGTTTTTACTTGGACTGTTTTCATTCCTAGACTAGACCATACCAGATCAGACCAGACCTGGATAGTTATAAAAATATCCAGATACCAGACATTACCAGATCAGATCAGACAAGACCAACAAATTCCAGTCCAAGTAAAAACATCCTTATTATATTAATTTTTATCAAAGTTCTTAACTACTTGATATTTAAAGTTTTATTGAATGCAAGAACTGTGTTTTGACAAAAGAAAATAAAAATTAAACTACTGTAATTAAAAAAGAAAGAAGTATAATCTTTGAATTTTTGAAAGCCTTAGCTTGGCCATTTGTTATGCTATGAACGTATGCTCAAGTCTGCATAGATAAGTTTCCCATATGTAATTATTCATAGTGAGTGTGATAACTGCTACTTCCCAATATGTAATACGTAGTACAATGTATATTACAAACTACATATACCTAATGGGTGAATCACACATTACTATTTAAATTTTGGAATATAATTAACTATCATTACTCATCAAATTTTACTCATTTCAAATTTAGATGAGACTGGTTTTGTAGTGATTATAACTTTTGACTCGTAAAGAATTACGAGAGCAATAATTTTGCTCATTGCAAATTAAATGTAATTCAGTGTTCTGCAAGCTCAAACATTCAAGGGGTTTAGCTGAACACTTGACCACTGGCTATGTTAACGCATTTCTGATAAATGTAAAATATGAATCAATAAACTACCATATGTGTGTGTTGGGATAAAACCCCTTCTAGTCTTGACAATAAATCCATATGCCCTATGGCCTATGGGCATACATTATTGGGAAAATTCCCTGAATACGATAAAAAAAAATTGAAATTTCAAACAAAGAACTTTCATGTTATTTATTTCCCAATGAGAGTAATTTCTGCCAAGTTTGACCATTACTTGGCTTTAAATATGGCAGTTTTTCCAAACTTGAAAGAAATTACTTATATTAAGTGAATAAAAACATAAAAGTCCTGTTTTGAAATTTCAAAACGTTTTTACTCCTATAGTAATTCACTTTATTACTAATATATACTAATGCATTTCAACTAACACTCAAGAAAAATATTAAAAATTATGTGACAAACTTAAGTGGCAATGTCCTACCTTCATGAAAATGGCATCACCTTTGGGGACGCTCACGAACATGTCTCCACCGACATGCTCAATACCTATAAAATTTAAAAAGTGTTACATTCGAGTAAATGTTTAAGCCGGTAAAGTTCAATTAACACTATATATACATGAGTAATGTACCACGATAAGGAAGAGCGTCTTGAATAACGTGAGGTAGATCGAAGTTAATGCCTTTAATTTCTGGATATTTGGAGAGGATCATGTTAAGGGTGGCGCCAGTTCCTCCTCCAACATCCACTAGGGTTTTTAGGCCTTCAAATCCCTTGTAATCGTCTAGAATCTTTTTCATGGTAATGGTAGAGTGGTCCGACATCCCACGGTTAAAAACCTTGTTGAATCGAGGGTCTGTTCCGTGATACTCAAATGCACTCATTCCATACGCCTTGTTAAAAGGTATCCCTCCATCAAGTACTGCTTCTTTTAAGTGATACCTAAGAATTGTATGTAAACTTGTCATAACTAGGCTAACTAGGCAATTAAAAATAATCCGAACATTAGTCTTTGCTATTTTTTACTATATGAAAAATTAGGACGTTTTTAACGATTATTATTATATTCAATTTTTGTACGAACTTCAACCCATTATCTTCCAAGAAAGGAATAAAGTATTTGTTGTTTTTATAAAAGATTTATGGTTGGAAGCAGTCAAACATTAAGAGCCTCTTTGGTAAAATATATTTTAAACTTATTAGCTTTATTAGTCAACTTTTATACAAAACACATAATTTTAAATTTGCTCCTTGAATTTTGTAATAATCAAATAAATAAGGTTCAAGTTATTTTTCTTACTAAATTGATTTAAGTTACGACAGAGGATCATTTTAGACATTTTCATTAATTTTTTTATTTTACCCATAAAACATATTTTCAATATATCTTTTCCATAATTCAACAGATTTATCGAATTCTATCGTTTTAACTAGAATTCCTTGCATGCATCCATTTAACATATTCAACCACTTTAAGTGTTATCAAATTTACTTAGTTGTTGGGAGATATATATATATATATATATATATATATATATGACTTTGATAGTATTACGGAGTAGCGTTTAGTATTGTCAATAAATCATTTAAACACATCTTTAATCTTTAATGTTTAACCATAGTCTGAACTCTAAAGTCTAGATTAGCCGCTGCAAGTTCCCTATCAGTGTTAGGTGGATTGGGTAGAGACTTGAGAGTCCACCAACCGGGTGCAAGGATAAAATTCAGATTAATATGGTTATAGATTAAAAACTGTGGTTTATGTTTTTAATTGTGGTTATAGATTAAAAATTGTGTTTTTATATGTTTTTAAAAATTGTGGTTATAGATAAAATTTGTTATTATGATGATTGAAAATGACTGTTTATGCTTAATGCTGTAATTATTTGGACACCGTTATTTCTCTATCATTCACAGAAATTAAAATTATGCACATAATTTTTGCTAACTTATTGAATATGTTAAATGGATGCATGCAAGGAATTCTAGTTAAAATTATGGAAAAGATATATTGAAAATATGTTTTATTGGTAAAATAAAAAAAATAAACGAAAATGTCTAAAATGAACCTATATCGTAACTTAAATCAATTTAGTAAGAAAAATAACTTCAACCTTATTTCTTTTATTATTACAAAATTCAAGGAGTAAATTTAAAATTATGTGTTGTGTATATAAAAGTTGACTAATAAAGATGATAAGTTTAAAATTCAAGGAGCAAATTTAAAATTATTTAGACACCATTATTGGAGCATCTAATATTCAGAATTGACCGACCATACTACAATTAGACAACCCGATTTTATGATCAAATATATGTATTCATGTAGATTGTAGTATGTGAAAAAGAAAATAAATTAAGAGGAAGATAAATAGAACAAAAATATACCAGCTTTCCATGAGGACTTTGTCTTGATTCATGAGCAAGAGCGGCGCCATGGAAACGCCGTCGGAGTTCTTGGTCAAATACTTGCACACCGGCGCCAAGCTATAGAGCCGCTCAACCCGGCCGTCTTCGGGGAGGGTCCGGAGAGAGCAGTTCAGGACAGAGTAGGTGCAGAGCAGCCGGAGAATCCGGTCCAGCATGACGGCCGCGTCCGGGTTGGTTGTCGGGAGCTGAGCCGTGAGCTCGGCAGGGGAGACGGCTGCTCCCGGCCCGGCTTTAGCAATCAGCTCCAGAAGGTCCAGCTCAATCGCTGATTTCAGCACCATGGGGAGCACTGAAGCGCTCGCTAGCTGCATCGCGAATAAGCTGGCGGCCTCGTCGTCATCCGACTCGGCTCGGCTCCTCAGCTGGCTCTCCTTTCCGGTCGAACCCATTTTTTGTTTTTTGTTCTTTGAATTTATTCTCCCTAGTTTCTAGTCCTTTTCGATCAGAGCTAGGAGAGGAAGAGAGATTTGGAGATGAGAGTTATGGGGAATTGATCGTTGATTTATATGGTAGAAGTGTAAATTTTGGTTCACCTAACAGGCTACCATTTGACTTATTTTATTTATATTCTTGTTTGGCCTTTAGTTTAAGCAATTTCAACTTCCACATTGAATTGCCGAGAGAATTTATGACATTTGATTCTGACTTCGTCAAAATTAAAATAATGTTACCAGTTTGAATACTTTATTATGGGTCTATGTACATATTATGTCTTAGTGGTTTGAAATTAAGGATTTATTGGTGTAATGGTATTATCACTATTATTGTTCGAGACTTCTTAGTCGATGCTCGTTGACCATAGCCGAAATGCAGACTCTTCGGTCTACAATCAGTTCCTGAAGCGATCTTATAAGTCCTCCATGTTCGGGGAAATTTAGCCCCAACGGCTCCCAATCTCCGAGGCCACTTTGTAAGCCCTCCACTCTTCAGGGATAATAGCCTCAACGGCTCCCCAATCTCCGAGGCCATCTTGTAAGCCCTCAATCAAACAGGGACAACAGCCCCACGCGGCTCCCGAAGAGAGAAGTCAAGGCATATATATAAGCCCTTGTTCCTTCCTCATAAAACAAGTTGGGATAGTAGCCCAACGCGGTTCCTGAATATTGGGTTGAGGCAATTTTATAAGTCCTTGCACCCCACAAAATTTCGTCTCCCCCTTTAGCATTGAAGGCGGGTGGAGAGAGAGGCGCAATGCCGAAGGTTGGGCTACTTGACGGCCCTGACCTTGGTCGAGCACCTCTCGCTTCCGACCCTGCCGGGCTCTCGTACGAATCCCGCAGTGCCGAGCTCTAGTCCATATCTCGCGGTCTGGAAGGTGGTCAGCTATCTAAATTGATGGTGCAATGCCACAGTCTTGAATTGAAGTCCGACTGCTTGCACCTCTCACTTCTGACCCCGCCGGGCTCTCGTACGAATCCTGCATAGCTGAGCTCTAGACCATATCTCGCGGTCAGGAAGGAGGTCGTTGTCAAAATCATTGGCGCAAAGCCAAACAACCAGGAATTAAAGTACGGCTGCAATACAACGCATCACTGCGGATTCCAGCCGAGCTCGCTTAAAAGACCTCGCATCTGGATCATGACTGTCGGTCCCACTTCTCAAGCCCTGTAGACCTCTCAGGACCTACTTCTCGGGTTCTATTTACATATTACAGCTGTTTGGGATATTTTACATAATAAAAAACCTTTGCAACAGTCATTCACAGCAAGTGAAGCAACTGCTGCAACTCTGCTAAAGCATTTTTGTCACAAGCTGAGCAAGTGCTCCTAATAGCACGGGCTCAGATCAGTTAACAGAGGAGGACTTTGAGAAATAAAGTCACCTCACCTGTTCAATGCACCTATTCAATATATATATATATATATATATATATATATATATATATATATATATATATCACCTTTGCACCATGATCAAAAAGAAACCAAAGAAAAAATTTCAAACTATTTTCTTAAGAAGAAAAACTAGTCCCAAAAAGCTTTATTAAGCAGAGGGCACCAGACAAACGAGTTACTGGCCGCAAGGAAATGACACAACCTAAAGCTCCAAAGTGATGGCCAAAAGCTCCCATGAAAGCTCCAACAGTTACTAATCCATGCTACTGACAAACTGCTCAGTAATGGACCCCTGAAAGTCCATTACTGCACAAGCATGCAACATGCAGAAGGCAACATGGACACTTAAAATCTATGACTGCGAATCAAACAAAGGCAAGTTCCGTGCTACTGAAAAACAGCAAGATACCGACAATGCCTCACCCAAGCGAGGCTGGCTACACAACCACTGCTGGCAGTGGCGGACCCAGAGATTTGTCAGAGTAGGGGCACACTAGTAGTGTAATTCTTGGCCGGAAGCGGGGTACTGATTTTACTCTAAGTACTAGTAGTGAAATTACTGGCCAAAAGCGGGGGCACTTGAACAAAATGACTGCTGGGGACAGTTGCTACAGCTTAGCAAACATATGCTGAGCTCAGAACAAAATGAGGACAGGCCTTCTATGGCCCATCCACACTCAACAACACCTGTGCAGTATGTAAGCAAGCACGCAAGGCGCAACAGACTTGAAATTTGCATATAAATAAACATTTCATACAAAGTGTGATTATCAAAAGGTGTTCCAAGGATGTTTATAACCACGGCTCATCAGCCAGACATGCAAAAAGATAAAGGGTAGGGGAATCAACTCTTTCCTCTTTTTTTTATTCTCTTGCTCCACCTCTTCACCGGCCTCAGCTGGTTGCGCCTGAGTGGTCAAAGAATACTGAATTTGCTGGCCAGGGGCAATCTCCGGATGCTTCATAGGCCGGGGAAGCTTATATTTCTTGTGAGTAAAGTCGGGCAGGGTCTCTCGGAGCTGATCATATATGTCCTTCTGCATCAGATACTTCCCATAGTTTCAGGCTGGGAAGCAGCTGTCTCCGCACAAACTCCAATCCCTCAGGCGTGGCTAACCAGTTGTTAATATGTTTACCCACGACGCTATAAAGCTAGTTGACGGTCGAAGGGGGAACTGGATCCTTCGAACATGAGGCTTGGAACTCAGAAATGGCGCCAGCTCTAGACCTTTCAATGGCTATAGAATAACCTGCAAAATAGCCCTCGAGCTTCTTATGAGAGGCACCCACTTCAGCTTCAAGCTGCATCATTCGAGCTTGATCACGCCCAGAGGCGACCCAGATCCCTTCAAGCTCTTGACGCAGCTTATTCAGCTCAGTATCCCTGGAAGCTATGTCAACCTCAAGCTCAGAAACCTGGGCTTTGGCTATGTTTGCCTCCTCAGCCTGTCCTTGGAGCCGCTCCAGGGTCTGCCCTTGCTTGACGATTTGAGAGCGGGCTTCTTTTAGCTCAAGAGCCACCTTGTCATGCTCCGCCTCCCATTCACTCCGCTCGCGGTTGACCACTGTGAGCATATCATCTAGCGTGGAACACCGGGTCTTCACAGCGCAGAGCTCACCTTCAACCTCAGTTAGGGAGTTGCAGAAACGATCTCTCTCTTTCATTCTCAAATTGGAAACATCTATCATTCTCTGCCACTTAGCCAGGCTGATTTTAGCCTTCTCAATGGCAGTTGTGGCCTTGTCCTCAGCAACCGGGGCCCGCTCTTCTGCACGCCGGGTTTGGGCCTCCGCCTCACCAGCGCCAGGACAGCCCTGTTGGCAGTATCCTTAAGGGCCTCAAACTGGGACTGACATTCCCTCAGCCAGATCTCAGCATCCTGAGCCCTCCCTTGGAACTCATGCAATTGCTTTTCAGAAGCTTCCAGGGCCTGCTCCGCCGCTCGCAGGCTATCCTGAAGATCTGACTGCTTCCCGGCAACCATTCTTGCTCGAAGCTCGGCGGCCTCTGTCCTGAGGGCCATCTCATAACCCAGAACGGTAGCCTGCAACACCGAGAGAACGTGACTACAAAGGGAAGAAGGAAGGCAAAACAAATGCATAAAGGGAATTAGAAAAAAGAGCAAACCTTAAGCGCACTGGAGGTGAGCTCCTCAGCAACGCTCGGGGTATCCATCTCCCCCATGACCCCAGTATCACAAGGCAGCCGTAGGTGGGTCAGCAGATCCATGGTCCCAGCGTTCTCGGAAACAAAGCCCTGGTCGTCCTTAAATGAGAACCGGAACATGTGCCTCTTCCGTCCTCCAACGGAATCATGTGGCGGCCCACTTCCTTGGCCACTGAATGCTTTTTCCGCCTACCGGCTGGAGTAGCACCGCTGGGCCCCGGAACATCTGAGCCTAGGCGACTTCGATGCTGCTGGACAGTCTCCTTATCTTCGTCATCATCTTCACCTTCATCTGTGGCATCTTCAATGACCACATCGGGTGAAGGAGTGGGGGCTTCACCTGCCGCGGCATTGGCAGGCACCGCGACATCCCCACGTTGGGCCGCGGCATCATCTTGTTGGGCGCCCCCTTCACCAGCGGCACCTGCATTATGCCCATCCCCAAAGTTCTAGGAAGAGGAAGAGGAACCACTGGATGATGGTTCAGCATATTTAACGCCAGCAAAAGGTTGAGTCTTCACTTTCCTGCCTCCATGTGCCTTGTCAAGAATGTCAAACAGGCTGGCACTACCGGTAATACCCCAGTTAAACACAGTAAGAGGACAAGGGATACAGACAACGGTTACCAGCGTTAAGCACTAGACCAAGAGTAAGTACCTGGAGAAGCCCAGAAGGTTGAGAGGGGAAAGCCAAATGAACCTTGGCAGGAATCGACCTTTTCTTGACGGGCTCAACTCCAACCTTGGCACGATCTACCATTCCTGCAGAGCCAGCAACTCCGGAAGCAGATACATCCCCCTGGCGCTTTCTACTCTCCAACGCAGGCTCCTCATCCTCTGAGGACTCGGGCCGAGGAGGGGACATATGGGCAAAGGCCCTCTCCTCACCAGAGGACTGTGAACCCAGCACCTCAAAAGCGGTAGGCTCAGCAGTTTCCCCCGAACCCTTCTCCATAGCCAGAGATGCCGCAATGGCTGTAGCAATGTCAGCCTCCTCCTGGGCACCGACTTGCACCTCACCTTGAGGCTCCCCACCTACAGCAGCCCCTTGGTCTTCAACAGGAACTTCAGCATAAAAAATGAAGCCCAGGTCCTTCAGCTTCTCCTCGGGCAGGAAGGATGTTATATCCTTGTCACCATACTTGATATAGGTGTCCACAGCGTCGGTAAATCCATCTAGCGCACCGGCATCGTGCATGTTGAATGAAAGAGCACCAGGAGCAGTAAAGGGAGACCCCCTCCCTATTAGTACAGATGAACACAAACCTGAGCTTCCATCCGTGGTGCGACGAGGGGTGTGGTGGAACCCACTCCTACCAGACCGTTGGGAGATAAGGGCACAACCCTGATTCTCCAGCGAACTGTTGAGTCCGATTTGGAACAAATGCCTAAAAAGGCCAACACTAACCCCCAGGCCCAGAATCTTGCAGCGCAAGAGGAAAGCGGCCAATCAAATAAAACCCATTGGGGGTTACCTGGCAAGGGAGCAACCCCACCCAGTTGAGGTACTCCACAAAGAATGGGTGCAACGGGAAGCGAAAGCCATGGTCCATCGCATCGAGGTGGACCGTGAAGTAACCCGAGGGGCAGGAGGACGCCAAACACCCCACCTCAGGCCTCAGGATATCAACGGTAGGACCGGCCATACGCCTGGCTTTGGCCCAATTGGCATTGGTAAGGGCGCACACATCCACAAGAGGCCCATTCTCCGCAAGGGTACCTACCGCGCCCCCACGCTTCCCTTTGCCCCCTTTCCGCCTCCTGAACGAGCGGAGGGGAGGCACATCGAATACAACGGGAACTTCTTCAACCTCACGAGGAGGAACAACATTGTCTACAGCGTTAGCGGAAGCACTGTGAGAAGACATCTTCAAAACCTGCAAAACAAATACGTTCATGCAAAAAATCAAAATCGCGGTTGAGAACCAATAATCCGACCCCCCCAAAGGTTGACATCAGCATGCGATTCCGATCCCAGAGGTACCAACCTCATCAAGAATGGGGGACTGTAAACCCCCCATTACTCAAAAAGCTAGTTTGACGGACAAACCTTCATTCTGGATTTTTCGGCAAAACTGTGACCGACGAAGAACGAACAAGCAGCACCGGAGACTAACCTCGTAAAGAGAAGTCGACGGAGAAAAATAGAACTTCGGTAGCACTGGCCGGAGAAGAAGAGCTCTAGGATTGCTTGAAAATTCTGGAAGCTTGAACACAAAGAAAGCGCAAAGGAGAAGGGCAAAATCTTTCGCCTTTTATACTTCCCTTCAAAAATGATCGGGAAGCTTACACGTGGCGCACTACTCTCCAACCGCCCAAAAAACTCAAAGGTTTTTTCAAAAAGGCGTGCAAAAAGGCGCAATGATGGCGCCGTACAATCACTTCAAACGCAATCCCTCGCATTAAATGCTGAGAAGCGGCTATTAATTCAAAATGTTGCAAAAGGAATGTCTAAAGATTCCTATTTGTACACATCAGCGTTACTACACGCCACAAATTCTCCTAGTTCCACCAAGCACTAAATGCAACTGCCTCGTCCCCCTCAAACTCACACTCTTCCGCACTTAGAAAATATTCTAAGTCCACAAGAGTGGGGGACTGGTAAGTGGGGGACTCGGGAAAGAAATAAAAAAAAGACTACAACAAGCTCAGAACAACACAACCACCTCGGGATCATCACCAAACAGGTATATCTCTGAAAACAAGCTCTGCACATACACACTGAAATTATTTACAAAAATTTTTCGAAATCAAAATCTTGTCAACCCACGGCCGAGGTCGTGGATGTAGCAACTAACCCATGAAGCAGGTTTGGAATGCGGAATACACGGAGCTCGAGCTCGGACCTCTCTGCAGCGGGGCGTCGCTTTCCTCTCCAGACTTCATGGCAAAGCGGAGTATACTCTTTTTCCTCCGTTCGGATTTTTTCCCACAGGGTTTTTCCCTCAGCGGAGTTTTTAATGAGGTACCCCTTTATCATGACCATGGAAGAGTAGCACCCCTGTCGGGCGAACGGGCCCAGGAAATTGAAGATTTACTCTCTCTCAGCTCAAGTTTCACTTTCGCCTCGGAGAGTGGGGACTCATGATGGAGTATATTCTCGTATACCCCAGGGGTATCATAATCGCCAGTATAAAATATCACGGGCCCATTCCGGAGTACACGAAAAGACTAAGTCCACAACTATACCGACCCCGAGCAGCCAGGGTCAGGAACAAGCGCCGGACAACAAAATAACTAAGGACTAAGGAGCTGTCCGGCCCCGACCTCGAGGTCGGGAAAACACCAGGCTCAGGAATCAACCGAACTCGACAAGATATGAGTCCAACCTTGAGTCACCCGAGCTCGGTATCCGGTCTGGCCCCAGAAGTCAAACACATGGTCAACAGGAGGCAAGCACCAGGCAGATGACTACCTCAAAAGCGGGAACAAAGGGGTGAATCCTCTCAGCATGAGCCCGAGTTCCCAGATATCGACCTCGGTGACCCCCAAGGTCTGAGTGAAGCATCATGGACTTAGACGAAATCCACAAGGACCAGCACCACAATGAAATACTGCCACGTTATCACCCGCCACTGACAAGATATATTAGAATGCACACGCGTAGCCACACGGGTGTTCTGGTAGCAGTCTGTTAGGGATTATTCCAATCAGCCAGTTGTCCAACACTCTCTCTCCAATCAGCTTTACACGTAGTTGCTCCCCATCGAATTAGGCTGTTAGTTTGTTAGAGTAGCTTTACACGTGTCTCTCTCCTATTAGACTAGCATATTTTTGCTTGGACACCAAGTATTGCCTTTTATCTCTTAATATAAATATCACCTTCCAACTTGTGGAAAGGGAGGTTTGATACTGAATCAATCGCACTCTCAATACTCTTACTGCCATTTTTGTCGGGTCCAGTATCTGCACTTTCCGATCAGTTCGCTCTCCCCTATTATTCTCATTTTCGGTGGATTCCGGCCACCCCTGGTCAGACGATCCATCAGGGCCTAAATGGCTCTCAATGGGCCCGAGGACCTAAATGGGCCTCGCCAACTGGGCTTCATATCGGGGTGAGGCCTTGGGCCCCTAAACAGTAGTAGGCCAGGATAATATTCCCCAACATGTGTAATACGCTATTGTGACTAATAAATGCTATAAGGAAGAATCTTATGTGCATTTTCTAGTTTTTGTACTATTGAATAAATCTCTACAAGTTTCTAGTGGTTTGTTAGGTAGGACAATATTTAAGAGTTTCTAAAAATAAAGTATTTTTTGAGAAGGTACACTCGGTAGCATCTAAGAAAAGTGTGTAACTTTTAACATTAATTAGTCATAACAGCTTCTTATATCAAACAAAACTAATCAAATCAAACAATCAAGTTTTATCAAACCGTTACAATTTTTTCATTTAAAATATTTTCAGTCACTAAGAGTTAAAAGTTGCTTAAAAGCTCACGAAAATATATTTTCGAAAAAATTGCCCAAAATGGGACTAAAAGATGGACTAAATTCCTAAATGAGACTTTAAGTTTTTTATTCCCTAAATAGGACTTCACATTACAATTTTACCCTTCCTCTTATTCAACTCAACTTCTCCCTCTTTGTTCTGCGATTTCTTCCGCTCCAGGCCCCCACCTCTTGCGTTTCTCCCATCGACACCATCGCTCTGCAGATCAAAGCTTCCCATCGGAGAAATCAATCGTAGCTCTCCCAATCGAAGCCGCTGTAGGTTCTTCCAACAATTACAGGTATCCTCCTCTCCTCCTCTCCTCCTCCTCCTCCTCTTCTTCTTCCTCTTCTTCCTCTTCTTCATCCTCTTCTTCTAATTCTCTTCAAATTTTTGGTCCTCTGTTCTCTTCTTCTTTGAATTTTTTGGATTTCAATTTTATATATTAATTTACATTTTTTGAATTTGAATTATATGTAGGTTAAAGGGTCAAATGGGTACATGAACTAACTTAAAGTGTTCAATTAGCCCCTTATATAAGAGGTTCTGCTCGGCCGTCGCCAATTGTGGCGGTTCCCGGTGTAATTTTTTAATGAAAGTTTTTGGGAATCTTCTTCATTAAGTCTAGTTTACCCATACCAAATTTTAGCTAAAAATGCAACCGGGAAAGCAGTCAAATAATTTTTTGAAGATAATTGTACAGTTAAACAGCGCAGTACATTTCGGAAAATCATTTGACTGCCTTCCCGATTTAAGTTTTAGCTGAAATTTGATACAAGTAAACTAGACTTAATGAAGAAGATTCTCAAAAAAGTTCATCAAAAAGTTCCATCGGGAACCACCCCAATTGGCGACGGCCGGACATAACCTCCTAAGTAAGGGGCTAATTGAACACTTTAAGTTAGTTCATGTACCTATTTGACCCTTTAGCCTTATATTTATTCAACAAAATGTCACTTTTATAAAAATTATTGGTTATTTGAACAACGGACACATTTGTGGCAGTATATTTATGAGGATGACTATTTGAAAATGTCATATGTTCATAAGAAAATGTCATTCTTATGTCATTTTATGGCATTTTTATTGCTTATCTGATAATGACATAACTATTGAGAATGTCATGTTTTTATATGAAAGTTCCATTATCATGGCATTTTCGAAAATTATATTGCTAAAAATGACAACATTTGGCAATCCAGTCAAAAAACATGTCATTAAAATATTGAGTAATAAAAACCCAAATCCAAATCTCAAGTTTTCATATCCAAAATAGTATTTTGATTTATCATCTGAAATAGTAAATGAATTAACAATAAAAAAAATTGAAAAATGAAACAAGGATCTGGTAGAAGAAGATGAGAAGAGGAGGAAGACGATCGAAGAAGAAAGAGGAAGAAAGAAGGAGAAGGAAGAAGAGATTACCTGGTGCGCTGGTATGGACCAGATGTATCCTCCTTAAATTACAGGTTCCTCCGATGCTATTCTGCCGCTTGCTAGTCTGCCGTTTATGTACAGAGATCGATAATCATTAAGGGAATTTTTGTCCAGTTAGGTAATTTGTAGTCCTAGTTTTGCATTTTAAACATAGGAGTCCTACTTTTTCATTTATTAGATGTTTTAGTCCCATTAGGGGAATTCTCTCTATATATTTTCAACTAGTAGTAATTGTCTTAGATGGAACTAAAACATAAGAATAATTCAAAAATAGGATCTTATCTTTTTTATTCCCTAATTAAGAGTTCCAATTCCAATCCTACCCTTACCCCTATTTTATTTTTTCTCCGTAGCAGCCATACCCATTTTCCCCCTCTTCTCTCTCCTCTTTCTTCCCTTTCCCCTTCCCTTTCTATTCTTGCTGCTTCCTCTCACATGGAGTCTGCAGCTCCGTTTTTTCTCTCCTAACTCGCCACCGGTGGACGGCGGACAACAAACAGCGGACAACGGACGGAGGTTGTCGTAGGTAAGACTTTTCTTCTTCTCTTCTCCTCTTCTTCTTCTTCCTCCTTCCCTTTTCTTATACCATTTTTTGCTTTGGCCGATGACAGATCTTTGCTTCCTTATTTTGTAGCAAGAATCTGCTATGTTCTTTCTTTTTCTTTCCTGATCCGAAATTTGAACTAATTTTTGATTTTCTTTCTTTTGCTTCCAGATCCGAATCTATCAAAGTTTTTTGCTCTCTTCTCCTTTTTTAATTTTCTATCAATTTTTCCTTCACCTTTTGTTTTTTAACTTTTTATTTTCTTTTACATTAAGTTAATAATTTTTTACTTTTTGCCAATCATTTTTTTAATCCTTCAAATTAATTTTATGATTTGAACTCGAAATTGCCATAATCGGTTTTACCATTATGACATTAAAATGCAAATATTACTCCTTTGCAAATAATGTCATGTTTTTCCACGTAAAAAAATTATTTTGACACTTATTTTCTTTTTTATGGCATTAACTCCCAAAAACAATACTAATAATATCATGTTTTTCATATTAAAAAATGTTATTTTTGTACATAATGCCATTTGTATGGCACTAACTCCGTAGAGATGGCAATATATTTTTCTTGCAAATCCAATATTTATAATTTCATAGAAATGTCAAAATGATAATAAATTTTTTTATATGAATCTTACTCAAAATGATTTCAAATGGTTAGATGATATTTTAAATCAGTTTTTCTAGATCTGAGATATGTGATGCTAGAAGATGGAGGTGTGGTATGGAGGTGTAGTGCTGAAAAAGGAAGCACTGGCATGGGTGGCGTGGGATCCGGAGGTTGCGAAGGTGGTAGTGGCGGCATTGATGACCGGCAGCAACGGCGGCAACACCTGGTAGCTACAACTTCGGCGGAAGCGGCGGTAGCGATAAGTGGCAGTGTCCAGTGGCGACTGGTGCCGTCTTGTGGCGGTGGCCGGTGGCCGGCGGCGGATGGAGACGGCTGACAACAGGCGCCAGTGATTGGTGAAACAACTTGTGGTTGGCAACTTGAAGTAAATAAATTAAGGATATTTGAGAGAAATATACGTACATCATTGTATAGTGTTCTGTTTTATATTTTTAATAAATAAATTAAAGTATTCATTAAGGATATTTTTGTCTACTCATTCACTCTTACTCCTATAAAAGTAAACGGATGATTGAACTCCAAGTTTTGCACTTTTGCAATGTTTCACTCCTGGGGAATTAACTCTTCAACTAGTTGTATCAAATATCGATTCCTATCCATACCAGACATGCACTACTGCTCTTTTATTCTATCGTATTAAATTAGTTTTTATGACAACTTTTATTACTAAAGAATAAGTAAACCGATAAAAGAATAGTTTCAATTATTTAAAAGACGATGTAGAGATTATATTGAGATTTTCCCTTAAACACTACTCCCCATGACCCACTAACAATTGGAACAGGAGTGACACGCAAACCAATATATAAAAAGTTGTGTATTGATATTGAATTTATAAAGTAAAAATAAAGTTGATAATCTTAGTGGAACAGTTTGAAAAAGTAAAGTGGGATCATCTTAGCAAGGAGGAGGGAGTATATACTAAAGTTGATTTTCAAAAGAGTTGGCCACTTTATATATAGGTAAAAATGTGACTAACAGGTTGATGGAAAAAACGTGATATCATTGTCAATTGCTAGTGTCACTCTTGCCGCCATTAGTGTCACTACTGTTGTAGAACAAGTCATTTTGATTTCTCTAATTATTAAAAATAAATATGGATGCTTAAACCTGAATTATTTTGTAGAACTCCACATTGATTACGCGATTAATTTCATTTATTCCATTTAACTTTTAGATGGTTTTGAATCATTGTTTATAATCATGTAGTTGATATTAGGCATGGACTAGACCAGTTCGGCCCGTCCCACTACTATGCGGGATCGGCCCGACCCATCTGACCGGGGTCGGGACTGGGGGCCCGAATTGGGGATAGGGGACGGGCTACGGGCTGCTGAAAGGTGGACCGATCTGGCCGGTCCAAGCCCTATTGTTTTTTTATTATTTCCATTTTAAGAGCTGCTAGGTGGATGTGGCGTGATGGTTTGGGGCGGTTTGGGGGGCGGGGGGTAGGAATAAATTAGAAAAACAAATTAAAAAAAAAACTAGACCCGACCCGACCCAGTCTCGATCCCCCAGTACCGGGCCTGCAACCCAAAAACCAAGGCCTGCCCAGATAGAATTCAATCATAAAGAGTCTGAATTTGTAGATTTTTTTAAAAGTGTGACATAGATAAAAAATGAGAAAGGTGCATAATTCTGTTTGAAAGACATACAAATGTACAATGATAGCTGAAACAAACTCTACAAGAGAATTAAATAGTATACAATATTATTACTCCGTATTACCTTCTTCGTTGTCTTCCTTGTATCCCATTCTTGTTTGACAATAAATCTAGGGTTTTTGGCAAGAACTTGAGTGGGAATGAAAAACTCAGTCAAAAAAATAAAATCCTCGCAAGTTCACTTGTGAAATTCCATGATCCAAGTGTTGACGGTGCAAGAAATCTTGTGAAACCCTTTGAAACCAGATCCCTTAGCCAGGGCCTCAAATTCTTTCTCAGTCCTCTCTTTACCGCCTGGATAATGGGCCAACATGATGACATCAATGTGAACCACATTCCTAGTTGCTGGCGAGGGTAAATTACACTCTGCCACAATCAACTTCCCCTTTTTCGGGAGCGCTTCGTAACAGTTTTTCAAAAATTTCAAGCAATGGTCATCGCTCCAATTGTGACAAATCCACTGCAAATGGATGAGAAATGGCATTAGTATATGACACGCTTGAAAATTTAAGAAGCTCAAGCAACATATAAGACTAGTAGAGGAAACTTGAAAACTCGACTTGAGTTTAACTATAAAAACAGAATTGTCTATTAACAAAATCAAAGTAAAAAACAACTTGTGCAGTTTATTTTAGTGACTATTAGATTGACTATTTTCTGTTTACTATAAAAAAATCTGCTAGTAGGCTTATAACTACGAACAAATTTTTACTATAAATTCTGCTTGTAGGCTAATAAGTTATAGCTATCAACGGAATTTAGAATGTTAGTTTTTACTTGGACTGTTTTCATTCCCAGATCGACTAGATCATACCAGATCAGACCAGACTTGAATTGTTATAAAAATATCCAGAGACCAGACATTACCAGAATCAGACCAGATCAGACAAGACCAGCAAATTCCAGTCCAAGTAAAAACATCCTTATTATATTAATTTTTATCAAAGTTCTTAACTACTTGATATTTAAAGTTTTATTGAATGCAAGAACTGTGTTTTCACACAAGAAAATAAAAATTAAACTACTGTAATTAAAAAACAAAGTATAATCTTTGAATTTTTGAAAGCCTTAGCTTGGCCATTTGATATGCTGTGAACGTATGCTCAAGTCTGCATAGATAACTTTCCCATATGTTATTATTCATAGTGAGTGTGATAACTGCTACTCCCTCCGTCCCTAATAACTTTGCCAAGTTTGACCGGCACGGGGATTAATAAAGTAAAAACTGTGTGGTTGAGGTTTATGCAGAAGAGAGAGAATTAACTAGAACCACAAATTCTTTACTTAAAAAGAAAAGTGGCAAAATTAGTGGTACATCAAAAAAAAGAAAGTTGACAAAGTTATAAGGGACGGAGGGGTACTTCCCAATATGTAATACTTAGTACAATGTATATTACAAACTACATATACCTAATGGGTGAATCACACATTACTATTTAAATTTTGGAATATAATTAACGTACTATCATTACTCATCAAATTTTACTCATTTCAAATTTAGATGAGACTGGTTTTGTAGTGATTATAACTTTTGACTCGTAAAGAATTACGAGAGCAATAATTTTGCTCATTGCAAATTAAATGTAATTCAGTGTTCTGCAAGCTCAAACATTCAAGGGGTTTAGCTGAACACTTGATGTGTGTGTTGGGATAAAACCCCTTCTAGTCTTGACAATAAATCCATATGCCCTATGGCCTATGGGCATACATTATTGGGAAAATTCCCTGAATATGATAAAAAAAATTGAAATTTCAAACAAAGAACTGTTATGTTATTTATTCCCCAATGAGAGTAATTTCTGCCAAGTTTGACCATTACTTGGCTTTAAATATGGCAGTTTTTCCAAACTTGAAAGAAATTTCTTATATTTAGTGAATAAAAACATAAAAATCCTGTTTTGAAATTTCAAAACGTTTTTACTCCTATAGTCCTATTTAGAGTAATTCACTTTATTACTAATATATACTAATGCATTTCAACTAACACTCAAGAAAAATATTAAAAATTACATGACAAACTTAAGTGGCAATGTCCTACCTTCATGAAAATGGCATCACCTTTGGGGACGCTCACGAACATGTCTCCACCGACATGCTCAATGCCTATAAAATTTAAAAAGTGTTACATTTGGGTAAATGTTTAAGCCGGTAAAGTTCAATTAACACTATATATACATGAGTAATGTACCACGATAAGGAAGAGCGTCATGAATAACGTGAGGTAGATCGAAGTTAATGCCTTTAATTTCTGGATATTTGGAGAGGATCATGTTAAGGGTGGCGCCAGTTCCTCCTCCAACATCCACTAGGGTTTTTAGGCCTTCAAATCCCTTGTAATCGTCTAGAATCTTTTTCATGGTAATGGTAGAGTGGTCCGACATCCCACGGTTAAAAACCTTGTTAAATCGAGGGTCTATTCCGTGATACTCAAATGCACTCATTCCATACGCCTTGTTAAAAGGTATCCCTCCATCAAGTACTGCTTCTTTTAAGTGATACCTAAGAATTGTATGTAAACTTGTCATAACTAGGCTAACTAGGCAATTAAAAATAATCTGAACATTAGTCTTTGCTATTTTTTACTATATGAAAAATTAGGACGTTTTTAACGATTATTATTATATTCAATTTTTGTACGAACTTCAACCCATTATCTTCCAAGAAAGGAATAAAGTATTTGTTGTTTTTATAAAAGATTTATTGTTGGAAGCAGTCAAACATTAAGAGCCTCTTTGGTAAAATATATTTTAAACTTATCAGCTTTATTAGTCAACTTTTATACAAAACACATAATTTTAAATTTGCTCCTTGAATTTTGTAATAATCAAATAAATAAGGTTCAAGTTATTTTTCTTACTAAATTGATTTAAGTTACAATAGAGGATCGTTTTAGACATTTTCATTAATTTTTTTATTTTACCAATAAAACATATTTTCAATATATCTTTTCCATAATTCAACATATTTATCGAATTCTATCGTTTTAACTAGAATTCCTTGCATGCATCCATTTAACATATTCAACCACTATAGAATTCCTTGCATGCCGCCATGGATGCGGTTACAGATTAAAAATTATGTTTTTATATATATGTTTTTAAAAATTGTGGTTATAGATAAAATTTGTTATTATGATGATTGAAAATGACTGTTTATGCTTAATGCTGTAATTATTTGGACACCGTTATTTCTCTATCATTCACAGAAATTAAAATTATGCACATAATTTTTGCTAACTTATTGAATATGTTAAATGGATGCATGCAAGGAATTCTAGTTAAAATTATGGAAAAGATATATTGAAAATTTGTTTTATTGGTAAAATAAAAAAAATAAATGAAAATGTCTAAAATGATCCTATATCGTAACTTAAATCAATTTAGTAAGAAAAATAATTTGAACCTTATTTATTTGATTATTACAAAATTCAAGGAGTAAATTTAAAATTATGTGTTGTGTATATAAAAGTTGACTAATAAAGATGATAAGTTTAAAATTCAAGGAGCAAATTTAAAATTATTTAGACACCATTATTGGAGCATCTAATATTCAGAATTGACCGACCATGCTACAATTAGACAACCCGATTTTATGATTAAATATATGTGTAGAAATTAGTTCAAATAGGACTAAAACTATAACAAAAACCTAAAATAGGACTTGCTATGTTTTTATTCCAAAATAGGACCATATGAGTCCTATTGGAAATATACCTATTTTTGCATTCCATTCTTACTCTTCCATTAAATATAAATTAAAAATAATCAAAAGCCATAATTAAATGTTTAATTCATAATAAATTCGAAATAAATTCAAAAATTCGTAGAAATATAATTAAAAAATTTATAAAATTTTTATAAAATAAAAAATTCAAATTTTTTTTTTTGAATAATTTTATTTTTAAGAAAAATTAATAAAAAATAGTAAAATTCCGTAAAAAAAATTTAAAAATATATGGATGTCTTTCCCACCGCCTGTACTACCACCCAGCACCACCACCTCCGGCCGATGAAAAAAATGCCATTTTCCCAGAAAATGCCATTTTTTTCTGAAAATGCCAAAAAAGTGGCATATTTCTCTTTTCGAATGCCAACATTTTCATTTTTTTCTGCCATAAATATGGCATTCGTAATGAACATGGCATTTTTTCCCTTGGTGACTGGAGGTGGTGGTGCTGAGGCGGCGGCGATTTGTTTTTTGAGTTTTTTTTTTGTTTTTTTTTTAATTTTTTAAATTTTTTGAAAAAAAAATTAATTAAATTTTTAATATCGAAATGTTTTTCTTAATTTTTTAGTATTTTTTACGAATTTTTATTATTTTTTATTATTTTATTAGGAATTAAAACATTTTAATAGCAATAAGGGTATAATTGTCCATGGTACACATAATTAGTCCTATGCAAACATTGTTTATTTTTTGATCCTATTTGTGAAAAGTGAATGACTTTTAGTACTATTTTGATAATTAACTCATATATGTATTCATGTAGATTGTAGTATGTGAAAAAGAAAATAAATTAAGAGGAAGATAAATAGAACAAAAATATACCAGCTTTCCATGAGGACTTTGTCTTGATTCATGAGCAAGAGCGGCGCCATGGAAACGCCGTCGGAGTTCTTGGTCAAATACTTGCACACCGGCGCCAAGCTATAGAGCCGCTCAACCCGGCCGTCTTCGGGGAGGGTCCGGAGAGAGCAGTTCAGGACAGAGTAGGTGCAGAGCAGCCGGAGAATCCGGTCCAGCATGACGGCCGCGTCCGGATTAGTTGTCGGGAGCTGAGCCGCGAGCTCGGCAGGGGAGAGTGCTGCTCCCGGCCCGGCTTTAGCAATCAGCTCCAGAAGGTCCAGTTCAATCGCTGATTTCAGCACCATGGGGAGCACTGAAGCGCTCGCTAGCTGCATCGCGAATAAGCTGGCGGCCTCGTCGTCGTCATCCGACTCGGCTCGGCTCCTCAGCTGGCTCTCCTTTCCGGTGGAACCCATTTTTTGTTTTTTGTTCTTTGAATTTATTCTCCCTAGTTTCTAGTCCTTTTCGATCAGAGCTAGGAGAGGAAGAGAGATTTGGAGATGAGAGTTATGGGGAATTGATCGTTGATTTATATGGTAGAAGTGTAAATTTTGGTTCACCTAACAGGCTACCATTTGACTTATTTTATTTATATTCTTGTTTGGCCTTTAGTTTAAGCAATTTCAACTTCCACATTGAATTGCCGAGAGAATTTATGACATTTGATTCTGACTTCGTCAAAATTAAAATAATGTTACCAGTTTGAATACTTTATTATGGGTCTATGTACATATTATGTCTTAGTGGTTTGAAATTAAGGATTTATCGGTGTGATGGTATTATCACTATTATTGTTCGAGACTTCTTAGTCGATGCTCGTAGAAAATATTTCGAATGGGTGGAACGCTTTTTGATTGTATAACGAGCTCGTTGACCATAGCCGAAAAGCAAAACAACGAGAATAGAAATTGTAAAAACAAAAAAGCAATTCTGGTTAGGCGGTGTGGTTTGTATAAATGTCAAAAGAGGCTTCGGCATTCATAGGAAACAATGAGAACGTATTATTAAGTATTGAAAAACTAATTTCGGTGATGTTAAATCTGAACGTCGGTGATGTTATAGATTCACGTGCGTAGGGAGAAGAAAGAATTGTATCCAATTCTGGACGGCTTAAGTATTGAAAAACTAATTTTGGGATGTCCCCAACACAGATTTTAAATGATTTTAAAGGAGTTTATAATTTCATCCAAATGCCGGTATCCTCAATTTAGATTTCTATAGAGTCCATTAAAATTCGGGTATCCTCAAACATTCCATGGAATTTTCTTATTGATTATTTTGTTGGATTTTGATAGAGTTTGAAGGACTTTTGGGCCAAAAAATTGATAGGCATCAAAGGCTCCAAGGTGTGCCCGTATCGGCCCAACATGTTACCAACAGAGAGGCCCTTTCAACGACCACAAAAACAAGGTGGAAAAGAACCTAACAGCCATCGGCCCTGTATAGAACCTACTGATGATAACCTCTTGAAAGCGACCTACGCCCAAGGGTTCTCCCATAGGGTTACTTTGGTCAGGAATCGTCAAGGGGTTAGATTCAGGGGGAATACGAGGATCCCGCTTCGACCTGGAGTTCCACCTTACTACTTCACCCCTCACTGGCCCTTCAGCCTGAAGTAGTGGGGGACAAAGGGACTACACCGGCCTCCGAACGCAAGGACGAAATTGAAAATCCAAAAACGCACAAGTATACTACAGCAACACCGTATCATCTATGTACCATAACGTCCAGGACCTGGTGGTGCACCCTCGGCCGCAACAAAGTAAGCAAACAAGGAAGCAAAGCTCACCTCCCTGAAAGTACTCCACTCTCGGCCGAGATAAGAAAACAAGGACACACAACGTCCTCTGGCCCAGTGCCATTATCGTCCACAAAACCAAGGACACACAACGTCCTCTAGCCTAGTGCTATTATCATCCTCAAAACATGGACGCCAAACTACGAATATTATCGCTTCGGCCTAGAGCATTAAAAGCAACCATGGGGCCTCCTCGGCCAAAAACACAAAAGGCAACCACCAACGGCCAAAGAGAAGAAACATCACCCTCATCGGCTACTCAAATCAAGGATGCATATCGGCCACTGAGCTAGGACACTCATTGTCCTTAAACAAACAAACGTACACCATCAGACGAACAGTAGCCTCCTTCGTCCACAACAAAGGGACAACAGCCAAACACCCAAAGAATAACTACATCGCCCCGCGTCGGCCAAAAAACGTCAAGATTGCAGGAATCTACTCTCCCTCACTTCGTCTACATCTCAGCTCAGAGAGTGGGGGACTCCTGATGGAGTATATGGGTCTAGGCCCCATGACCCACATACTCAGAAGAATAAGAGGCGCAACTGTCACTCAGTGGGACCTCCATCATCCAGATGGTCCTCCATCGGCCAGAAAGACATCAACTCAGAACATGATCCAGAAGTCAAGATAACCAGGTGTCTCCGTCGGCTGGGTCTCCGTTGGCCGTGGCTCCGTCGGCCAGACCCCCGTCGGCCACAGAGAGCTCACAAAACCGGATTTCATACTTAGTCATTTCTACATACTTTGTACTCGGCCCAGTAGTGGCCCGATTGTAAATGGGCCTCCCAAGTCCAAGACTTGGGAGCCCAACCCACATTTCCTATATAAATACTCCCCTTGAGAGTAGTTGTAGGGGTTGAGAAATCATTTATTACAACATATATTGCACTTCTTTCTCTAGCTTTCACTTCTCTCTAGAATATATACTCTATCACATATTATACCAGATTTAAATAGACCAACACAAACTAGATCACACTTTAATAGTTATAAAACAAACATATAACAAATATCTACCAGATCAAATCAGACCAGATTTAAACAGATCAGACCAAACCCGACTAAATAAAAAACTACAATACAATTAAAACATCCTTAGATACAATCTATTACAACTCACAATTTCTCATTTCTATAAATTAAATGAATTAATAAAAATGGGGCAAATTGTCTCAAAGATTGCAGGTACATATTCATACACGTACATATGTGAGTAGTCCCAATCAAAGTATAACCTAATTACCTAACTAAAGTTTACAATACAATAATGGAAATGAGATATTCTCCTAAAGTCCTAATCGAGGTACCACAAAATTAGCTAGTTTCGTAAAACGAGTTAAATATTTCTTGATTCGTTACTACTCCGTATAAGTCTATAATGGATATAAAATATTTTCCGGTGTATAAAAAAGTCTCTGGTAATAATAATAGACAACTAGGGATGGAGATAAGGCGTAGACAGCGACCCCTCCTTTCATTGTTGCATCACCATCCCAAAGGTACATGTCCCAACCTTTAAAATTTGCAGTGGAATGAGATGTGACCGTACTGTAATGTGCACGATGCACATGTGACATGAAAAGATTAAATTCTTTGTCATGGTCTTTTGGTTTTAGTAAGTTTTTTCAACAATGTCCACATCTAGATATTGCGTTTGACATTGTGCAAAAAAAGTTTGTCAAAATCATATAAGATGGTTTAAATTAAATAAGGAGAAAAATATTCTATTCATCTTTTTTAATTGGCTATCTCTTATGACACGTATGCACCATTTACATTTTTACATTGGAGATTTTCTTTTCTTTCACATTTATACTTGAGTTATAGACTACTTTCATCAAATTTTGGCCTCACATATATATGTCGTCGCCCTTGTATATTTTTGCTCATGCTGTCATGCATGATTGAAGATTAGGAAACTGTGTAAACTTTAATTTATACTCCGTATATTAAATGTCTGGAAAGTGGAAACTAAACATCAAATTTACAATCTATTGGTAAAAATTATTCTTAGATCCATGCCCTCGTCCGAAAATTATACTAACATGGATGTTTACATTTAACTAGAACAAAGATACTACTCCGTATAATAGATAGAAAACATATAATAACCCACAAAAAATTATTCTTAGATTTAACATTAAATATTAATACGACGACATTTAATTTAATTACAAGTGTATTAATGAGAGTAGACTATTACATTCCAAATTCATTCTCCAAGCACATGCGGCACAATAAACTTCAAAATACTTTAGTACTTCTTGTTGAATTGGATGGTATGGTTGTTTTAAGAAATAATAATGACCCACGTATGAAAGATGCTGAAAAATAATGTGGCTTGTGCTTTCTTAATCATATACTCCGTAGTAAATTCAGGGAGTGCAATTGTATTCAATTTTACATTTTTACATTGTAGTGCCTGACAAAATATCCTGAATAATTTTAGTCACCTTTTATTTCATATGTTTTTCTAGTATTTCATATGTGGTACTCTGTAATATTTAAGGAAAAATCTTTTTTATGATCAGTTAATCGATCATGATATCAATACATCAACAACATTTTACGAAGTGCATATTTAGATCGAAAACGACTATGGACTTATGGTATGTCCCGATGCAAACAAATCATAATTAAGAGAAAAACATACCGTTAAAGTCCCACACCGGCAAATTAAGAAGTAATAGAGTGCTACGTTAACATAGCACTCCATTACTTTTTAATTTACCTGTGTGCGACTTTAACAATATGTTTCTTTAATAAAAAAGACTATTTTATACTCCGTACTACAAGACTTATATCAAATGACTTTGAATAAATACATACAACCAGTGGTGGCCGGGTCTAGGTATCGGAGGTCGAAATAAAATACTACTCCCTCCGTCCCCCTGTTATTGTCCCATTGCGGTTTACGATGCTTGACCGACGATAAAGCAAACAGATCCCAGTCCGCACTCAAATTATTTTTAGAAAAAGAAAATTACATATTCAGAAACTTCATTAAAAGATTTACAAAGTCGCAAAAACCAGAATCAAATTTGATAAAAATTTGATACATAAAGTAAGAGATTAAGAGTGATTTGTGTTGACCAAGTGAATAGGAAATGGGACAATAATAGGGGGACGGAGGGAGTAATAAGAATGGTCAATGGATTACTTGAGATTAAAGAGCAAATTGAAAGAAAAAACAGAAGAGCGATTAGCGGATGACCATAAGGCGTGAGCAAATTGCTGATTCTTTATTTTAGGTAATAATAATTGAGTAGTTTATTTCAAAAAAGTATTATTGGACATTTAGATACCTATTCGGCTATTTGTAATTCGGGCTTCCAATTTGGATCCATAATGTGGTAGAAAGATGTTGTGCAATGGTAAAACGATTTTGATATGCTAGATTTAAAAAGATTAGTGAATGTTGTTGGGTTCCAGCCGGAAAAACGAAAAGAAATTCTCTGTCAAAAAATACTGAAACGGATTTGAGATTCTTACTATAAAATGCAAACTAGTAAGAATGTTAGACGGTCTCAGAAAATGATCCCAAATAGTACTCTACAAGTATTCACGTTGAAATAATAACAAAAAACTAACGCTAAATTTCTTTACTCTTACAAAGAATGATTGATGTTTGAAATCACAATTACTCGTAAAATCATTTCTCAAAAATTAATGAATAACAATAAAAGTATGTCCCCCCCCCCCCACCCCCAAAAAAAAAACACTAAAGATTTGTTTTCATTAAAGCTCAATTGAGTGTGAATATACAATTTCCATATAAACCGAATTGAGAGATTTGTTTTACTAACAGACTTGTTGGAACATGATTGCGGATAGTCTTAGCTTCTTAGGATGTTTTTACTTGAACTTATTTCAGCCTTAGACTAAATCAAATCAGATGAAGGCAGTGGAGGAGCTAGGGGGGGGGGGGGGGGGGGGCAAGGGGGGCCAAGCGCCCCCGCTCCGACTAATTTTTTTTACTAGTATTACTTATAATATGTTTCTTGCCCCGACTTCTTTTTTAATTTTAAAAACAATAAGTACAACTTAAGGTTATTTTAAGATGAAGTGTTAAAATAAATAAAAAAGTATTTTCAGAAAAAGTAAAAAAAATGAAATATAGAATAAAAGGGGATTAATGAGTCAATTAGACAAATGAGCATCAAGTCTAAGGCTAAGTAAAAAAAACGGGCATAAGTAGAAAAATGAAAAAAAAAACAATTCTAAAGCCCAAGCCACCTAGACAATCCTAAAGCCTAAGCCCAAAAATGAAAAAAATAACAATTCAAAACGTAATCACTAAAATCTAAAGCCATTAAGTGGGTTAAAATTTCAAAGCTTCATTAACAAAAGACCTAGGCAGTCGGCAGTCCCTTCCCACTCCGCCAAAAAAAATGAATCGAGCAGTTGAGAACGCAGGTAGGCAGCGAACGTGAGAACTGAGAAGCAGCATCGCCCGCTCCCTCTCCGGATTAGGGATGATGTGATGAGAGCATATGTTGTTAAAGGTGCTTGTCAACCAGCATCTCATAAGTTTCCACGAACTGAATTTGGTAAGACATTAAGGAGCTTTCGAGGAGAGTGGTTTAAAACTTGGGAATGGTTGGAATATAGTATTTCTAAAGATGCCGCTTTCTGTTTTTGGTGTTACCTTTTTCATGGGCATGAAGGAAAGAGATTGGTGATGATGTGTTTGTGAGGACCGGATTCCGTAATTGGAAGAAAGCTCCTGAAAAATTTAGAGATCATGTTGGTATTGTAGAGAGTGTGCACAATGATGCTAGAACACAATTTTTTGCTTTCAAAAATCAAAAACAAAGTATTTCAAGAAGTCTCTCTTCAGGAACACAACTGTTGGGTGCGGCATACCGTACTCGTTTGAATGCAAGTGTGGATTGTGCTAGATTTTTAATTGCACAAGGATTGGCTTTTCGTGGTCATAATGAGCGAGAGAGCTCATTAAATAGAGGAAATTTCTTGGAATTGCTAGAATGGTATAGTGCACGCAATGCCGATGTGGCAAAAGTGGTGAAAGACAATGCACCTTCGAATCACCAACTTACTAGTCCTATGATTCAAAAAGATATTATTAAGGCCTGCGCATCACAAACAACAAAAGCCATAATAAATGATCTTGGTGACAAGTTTTTTTCTTTATTGATTGATGAAGCTCGTGATAGTTCTGTGAAAGAACAAATGGCAGTTGTTGTGAGATATGTAAACGATCATGGAGTTGTGATTGAGCGGTTCCTTGGGGTTAAGCATGTTGTTGAGACCACATCTCTTTCTTTAAAAAGTGGCATTGATGATTTTTTTTCAAAACATGAATTATCAATGTCTAGAGTTCGAGGACAAGGGTATGATGGAGCTTCTAATATGCGAGGTGAGTTGAATGGATTGAAGACTCTTATCTTGAATGAAAATCCACATGCGAGATATATTCATTGTTTTGCTCACCAATTGCAATTAGTTGTCGTGGCTGTTTCTCAAAAAAAAAATTTGTGAGTGATTTCTTTGAATATTTGTCCATGATTACAAACATGGTTGGATCCTCTTGTAAAAGAAAAGATGAATTTCGCCAAAAACAACATGAAAACATGGTAGCCATGTTAGAAAAAGGTGAAATTACGACCGGGAGAGGATTGAATCAAGAAAGTACTTTAGCACGACCGGGAGCTACTCGATGGGGTTCACATTTTACAACCATTATTCGTATTCTATCTTTGTGGTCTCCAACAATCCAAGTGCTTGACAATATATTTGATGATGGAATTGATTCGAAATCAAGGGGCAAAGCTAGTAGTTTGGTTGAAAAAATGGAGAGCTATCAATTTGTTTTTATAGCCCACTTGATGAAGAAGGTATTGGGATTGACGAATATGTTGTCACATTTCTTGCAACAAAAAGATCAGAACATTCTTGAGGCTGTGAGCTTGATTAAAAGCACTAAAGAGAAGTTCCAAGATTTGAGAGAAAGTGGATGGGAAGAGCTATTAGAAGATGTCAGTAAATTTTGTGTGAAGAATAAAATTGACATTCTAAACATGGAAGATACAACTCATCGTTCTAGACGCGTTCACCATCCGGTAACAAATTATCATCACTTTCGAGCTGATATTTTTTATCATGTATTTTTAATTAAAATTTAAATTATTTATTAGTTGTTATTATTATTATTATCATTATTATTATTACTATTACTACTACTTTTTATTATTACCTTATTGTAGGTTATAGACCAGGTCAATCTGGAAATGGAGAATCGCTTTAGTGAGTCAAATACAGATTTACTCGCTTGTTTAGCTTGTCTTGATCCTAAAGATAATTTTTCCAATTTCTGTGAGTCAAAGCTACTCAGTCTTGCGGAGTTATATTCATCTGATTTTTCAGCTGTTGAGCAAATGGAGCTTAAAGAACAACTCCAAGTTTGGATATATGAGATGAGAGGAAATGAAGCATTTTCCACTTTACAAAGTATTGGTGAAGTGTCTAAGAAGATAGTTGAGCTTACAATTCACAAATCTTTTCACTTGGTCTATCGTCTTATTGAGTTGGCTCTAGTGTTACCAGTTGCAACAGCCACAATTGAAAGAGCTTTCTCATCGATGAATATTATCAAGACAGATCTTCGTAATAAGATGGGAGATGACTATCTTACAGATTGCTTAGTATGCTACATCGAAAGAGACATTTTTCAAGCAATTGATAATGAAGCTATTATGCAGCATTTTCAAAATATGAAAACTCGTAGGATTGATTTGCCTAGGTTGCAGAAGTAAATCAAGTAGTATGTAATGAACTATAATTTTTTGTTAAATTATTACGCTATTGTTGTTCTTATTATATTTTGGACACGAACTTTAAAATTATTAGTCTTTGGTTTGCCCCTCCTTGGACAAACCTCTGGCTCCGCCACTGCCTCCACCCTTGGATTTCCAAATCCATTTTTTAAAAAACCTGTGTCTCTTCCGTCTCTTCCTGCGCACGACTCACGACGCTTCTCATACGGCCTTTCCCTTCCATCTTCCAACTACACTCACCATCTTCATCCTTGAAGTATTCTCCAGGTACGATTTTCTCCAAATTTTTATGTCCTCCATATTTTGATGAGTCCTACTCTTATCAAGAATCTGTACTTGTAGTGTAGTTTTGTATGTGAATCTCTCTTTTCCCCTGAATAATTTTCTCCTTTTTACTACGCATTTGTACTACTGTGTATATTTGTTGACGAAGTTTTTTTTAGAGAAACAAACTTACCATAGGAAACAAACTTACGCATCAGTGGACAGAATCACAGACTTCCTCTTAATAACAGATTCTACCATTGAGGAAACTTTATTAGTAATGATTAAAATAATACACTGGAAGAGTATTTAGATCAAAACATGTTATTACACTACACCAAACGGCAAGACTACAACAGATTAATCAGATTAAGGCTTATACAAGTGTGAATCATCACAAGCGAAATTACATGACCCTTAAAAGCTCCTTGGACTGCCCAGGCGGTGGCAAGAACTTAAAATTCTGGACCATACGCCCCAAGACAATCCCTAGTATGGGCAGCGCCAGGATTATCTCTGGGCAGCTCATGTAACAAACTTACGCATATGATAATTTTGAACAAAGATAAAAACAATTGTCTTTAATAATATGTATGTTTAATAACTATAACTTCTTTGGTAGTTCTACAATGGGTGATTTGCAAGGAAAGGAAAAAGCTGTGTATAATGTGTGAAGTACAGAAGAAAGTTCTTTATTACTAGATCTTTTGGTTGAGGCTGCTCAACGTGGATGGCGTGATTGTAGTGGACTGATTACTAAACAAACTGTTGAATCTAAAATACTCCCGGTGCTGAATGAAAAGCTTGGATGTCAAAAGACATACAAGGAGTATCAAAGTCGGTGGAGGTACTTCAAGCAAAGATATCAAAAATATGTTGATCTGATAAAGTTCAGTTCGGGGTTTGGGTAGGACCCAATTAAAAAAAATTACGGCTAGTGATGAAGTGTGGAAAAACTACTTAGAGGTATATCATATAATCCTACAACTACTTAAATAATTAATATTTAATTATACTAATCCAAAATTAACTTACTCCATTATTTATATATATATATATATATATAATCTTGTCTTTTGTAGTCTCATGGTGCTCATAAGAGTCTCCGGACGGATACCATTCACGATTATGAAGATTTACAAATAGTAGTTTGGAATGTAACAGCTACAGGAAAAAATTCAGTTGGCTTAGGTGAGGAGTCTGATGCTAGGACATATGATGTTGAAGAGAACACTCAAGCTTCAATAGAAGACTATGTGTATGATGAGTCTCAAGGCGTGTACGTCCCAACCCAAAATGATCCAATACACGATTTAACTGTGCCTCCTACATGTGCAAATAGGAGTCCAACTTCCTCAAGAAGTAGTGGTTCTAAAAAGCGAACCAGAGATCGATGTAAAGGGAGCTCTAAGCCAAAAAGTAGTGAGTCTCGTTCTGAATTTAAGACGAAGGTTGCTAGTGGAATGGATTCTATTGCTGATATTGCTAGTGACATTCAAGGAATGAGGATATTGATGGAAAAGAGGGAGAAAGATAGGGAGAAATATGAGATTGAGAAAAGGGATTTAGAGAACAACAACATATGGAATGTTATAAAAGAGACCCCGGGTTTAGATGAGCGCACACGCTACAAAGCCCCTACACTCATATATAAGTTTGGAATGAAAGAAGCTTTTCTCAAGATGTCACCTCAAGAGCGTCAAGAGTGGATAAACTATAACATCGAAAAAGACTATGCTTGATTTAGGAAGCTTTCTTCTCTTTATTTTTCACGAAACTTTTATTTATGATGGAACCTTTCTTGTTGAACACTTTTGTTATTGAACTTTTATTCCTTTCTACCGTTCTATGAAATATTTATACCATCTGATGTTATTTTTGATTACTTATCTCATTTACTTATTTCATTTATTGTTGTGAAAGTTCAATTAAAATGTCATATTAAATGTTTGTGTAGGTTGGATGAAATGGAAGATGAAATGAGGGAAACAAGTAGTGAAGAATTTTATGAGATGTTGAAGTTAATTTTATTAGCTCTTGAAGCAATACTTCGAATGTTGAGTGACCAATTACTGTTAATGCATGAGGGAGAGTATATTGAGCGTCATACTCGCAAACCTATCACCACCATTGGATTTAATTACATAAATACAGTGTTAACTGAAGATCCTGTGCATTTTAGAGAAATGCATAGGATGTACCCCGATGTTTTTCTAAAACTTTGTAGCATCATTAGGGAGAAAACACCGCTACGAGATACCCGATATGTTTGCGTGGAAGAAATGCTTGCGACATTTTTAATTACGGTTGGTCAAAACAGTCGTTTTTGTATTACACGCAAGACATTTGGTAGAGCACATTCTACGACTAGAAGAAATTTTAACAAAATTTTGAAGGCTTTAAACACAATTTCATCCATGATGATGGTGAAACCGGCAACTGCTGTACCTAGCAAAATCAGAGAGAGTACACGGTTTTATCCTTACTTTAAGGTAATCATTTACTGCTCATATGAAACTGTAATTTCTTGTTATTGTTTGAAAAATATTATTATTTATTTTATCACTAGGATTGTATTGGAGCAATTGATGGTACACATATACCTGCGATAGTTGAGGGTCATGATGTGACCCGTTACCGTAATCGCCATGGAAACCTATCACAAAACGTGTTGGCGGCTTGTAATTTTGACTTGGAGTTCATTTATATTCTTAGTGGTTGGGAAGGTTCAGCTCATGATTCAAAATTATTAAATGATGCACTAACAAGAAGAAATGGGTTAAAAGTTCCACGAGGTAAGTGTCATTTTTATCACTATAAGGTATTTTATATTTGTGTCGTATAGTAATTTATCATGTATTTCATTTGTCATCTAGGGAAGAGTTTTCTAGTTGATTGCGGATTTGCAAATCGTCGTCAATTTTTGGCTTCATTTCGAGGTGTTCGATATCATCTTCAAGATTTTGGTGGGCAAGGTCGTCATCCTGAAAATGAAAGGGAGTTATTCAATTTACGTCATGCTTCCTTGAGGAATGTTGTTGAGAGAATATTTGGCATTTTTAAATCACGGTTTGCGATTTTTAAGTCAGCTCCTCCATTCCCATTCAAAACGCAAGCAGAGTTAGTATTAGCTTGTGCAGGAGTGCATAACTTTCTACGCAAAGAGTGTCACTCAGATGAATCTCCTGTTTCTTCAGATGATGAAGACTCTTCAGACGAATCTTTGTTAGAAGACGACGAAGATGAAATTGACACTCTCCAAACGCAGGATGAACAAAGGCAATATGCAAATCAATGGAGAAACGGTATTGCACAACAAATGTGGACGGATGTCATCAATGAAGATTACATAGATTGAATGTATTCCTTTTGTTACTTTAGTACGGTTCATAATCGTTTAAGATTGTGCTTTGATTATGGATTAAATATCAATTACGTAGTTTGTTATATTTCAATTTGATGTTTTTCCTTAAATATGATTAGATTGAAGCCGATTTATCATTAACATTTCCCAATGATTTTTTTTTTTAAAAAGAACGATTAATTTTTTTATCAAAATATTCTGATGACTTTTCCGACGACGGTTTGCGGTGCCTGAGCAGGTGTGGGAGCTGGGAATTAGGGTAGGGGTTTGCACCGGCTTGTATTTCAAATCTATTAAAATCCATTGAAATCCATATAATTCCATGAAATAGAATTCCATAGAATTCCATATCAATCTCATGGAATCTGTAGAATTGCATTAAAATCCATGGAATCTACAATCCTTTAAAATCATTTAAAATCCGTGTTGGGGACACCCCCCTTAAATTGGAAGGGCAAAATGATTTTTTGAGTCCCGCTAAGACTCAAAATGGAGATTTCAAAATAATTTCCGTTTTTTAACCGATCGGGGTGGAATCTCATGAGCGTGAGAAGGCTTCCGCTATTAAAGAGACAATTACTAGGTTGGATGAACAATAGATATTGATGGGTATTGGGATCCGGGTAGTAATTCTCAAGAGGAGTTAGAGCAATGCAGAGTGAGAAAGTTGTGTAATAAAAATGGTTGAGTAACAATATAAAAATTTCAATCACTTTCCCAAAGGGGGGATGTTGCTATTTATAGGTAAATACAAGAGTTAGACCTAAAGCTCAAAGAAGTTAAGTCGGTCTACACATGTCCCTCCAATACTTGGGAACAAGTCTAATGATATCATTTTGATGTGTGATGAAGTCAGCCCTTGTAACAGGGGAACGGAGGTAGTAATTAAATTAGTGGATCCTTTTTGAGAATATTACCCGAAATAGGATTAAAACAGTTTGAAAATTCCAAAATATGACCGCCATGTTTTTATTCCCAAAATAGGATAATTACTGCCATATTTTGGTAGTACCAGACTTCAAACATGATAGTATTTTCTAAACATGGCAGTAATTAGTCCTATTTTGGGAATAAAAAACATGACAGTCCTATTTTGGAATTATCAAAATATTTTAGTTCTATTTCGTGAACTTTCCCTTCATTTTTTCATTCTTGTATTGAAATTTCTACCGATCATTTGCTTATACCCTTTGGTTTCAAATTTGGTAAGACAAACACATTACACATGAGAGAAGGCCGAGTGCAAATTGACATCCTCGTAACAGGGTGAAGCTCCTATTAAAAGGGTGTTTAAGGGGTAAATTTTATGTCATTTTGACATAACCCAACAGCTCTTAAGTTTACATCCGTAATTTGATCAAGCAACAACACTTTCACAAATATGTGAGGAATAAATATTTGGGCAACAACACTTAAGATTTACATTACATGTATAATCTTTATTGCTAAAATGATGAATAAATATATGCTTTACCATGTAATCTAATCTAATAATCTTACATTTAGTTACAATTACCTTTTTCCCGTATTATGTGTGTGTATCATACATAATGAATAAGAAAAAAATAGGTATACGTCTCTTTGATGTACACTTTCATCCTTTTGTACACTTCCTATTTTTATGAATGTACACGGGCAATTTGTAACAAAAAATACAATTCATCAGTCAACATCTTTATAAATAGTACAAAAAAGGATGACACTCCTGAGAGCCCTCAACCCTGACCGGACGGTACGTTGGGAAGATGTAAATTAGACCATAATTCCAATCTGAGAGATAGAGAGTAGAGCTTTGTCAACATCTTTATAAATAGTAGGGTGTACAAAAAGTGTACAAAGAAAATGTATACATCAAGAACGACCCAATGAATAAACTGACCCGTATACAGAAAACAATAATAACCGAAAACATACTTTTTTCCTGTTTGGAAAGAGTGTATGATTTTACTTGCAAACCGAAACTCAAAAAACTACAAAAACCATCGCCATATGTTGGGATTGGAAAATTCTTCTATTCAATATCAAGAACAGAATTACAATAGGAGGAGCAAACTCTCACACTCAACTATTACAAAAAACCAATCCTCACCAATACACTCCTACTCTAAGTGTATTTCACTCTTCACACACTTTTCTCACTTTCTAAACTGATGATATGAACAACAATAGAACACTCTATTTATAGGGCTGGTTTGGAGACAAGAGGTAGTACTTCCATCTTCTCCATATCTTCTTCCCATTTTCATTTGTTGGAGAGCTCCTTCCAAGAAGGTGTGAGATGCCTCTTGGCAACTTCCAAGAAAGAAGGTGGAAATTCCCTACAAATCTCCCCCTCCACCTTTTTCTTTGTTTCTATCATTCCTGCGATGCTCGCTGGCCCCCCCTCGCTGGCAACAAGTATCCATTCGGATGTGTAATACTTTCTCTGTGGAACTATGCCTCGCATAGAACGTCGAACATGAATACCTTCAGATTCGTCTTCAGATGAAGGCTCCCCCTGCTGAGGAATATCATCACTTTGAGCTTCATCATCACTAACTGAACCATCACTCTCTTGTTCAGTAGTATCATGCATCTCCTCGTCGCTGAGAGGAATGTTTGATGATACAAGCACTTCGTCTTCTGGAGTATGTTGTGTGCTGATGATTGGGGCACACTCATGAAACTCATTTTCATGAAATACAACATCTCTGCTTCGTACAACTTTCTTCACTTCGGGATCCCACAGTCGGTATCCGAATTCTTCATCTCCATAGCCGATGAAAATGCATGGGTTTGATTTGAGATCAAGCTTCTCTCTCAACTCCTTGGACACATGTGCAAATGCCTTGCACCCGAACACTTTCAAGTGAGAGTAAGAAACATCTCTTCATGACCATTTCTTCTCTGGCACTTCAAGGTTTAAAGGAACAGAAGGTGACCTGTTTATAAGATAACAAGCTGTCAGCACAGCTTCACCCCAGAATGGCTTCGGTAGTTTAACCATACTCAACATGCAACGAAATTTCTCCACAATGGCTCTATTCATTCTTTCGGCTACACTATTGTGTTGTGGAGTTCGTGGAACCGTCTTCTCATGTCTGATTCCATATGCGGCGCAATATGCTGAGAGTTCCCCGGAAGTGTACTCTCCTCCATTGTCTGAACGTAGACACTTCAGCTTCTTCCCTGTTTCTCTTTCTACCATGGTATGAAATGATTTGAAACGATCAAACACTTGATCCTTACTCTTAAGACAGTAAGCCCATACCTTTCGTGATGCATCATCAATGAATGTCACGAAATATCTGCTTCCTCCAAGTGACTCCTCTTCAATGGGTCCACATACATATGAGTGGACAAGACTGAGTAATTGTGAATGGTTCTTCCTGGTAGAATTGAAGGAAACTCTGTGTTGTTTCCCAAATACACAGTGCTCGCATGGATCTAGGGCAACACCTCTGCCCAAGGAAATGGCTTCCTTCTTTGCAAGAGTCGTCAATCCCTTCACACTCAAGTGGCCTAACCTCCGGTGCCACAAGTTTGGTGATGTCTCTTCTTTCAACAGCATTGAGACTTGGATGACATAGCTTTGCATGGGTTTTATAAAGAGTACCACAAATATGGCCTCTTGCAACAATCAAGGAACCTTTAGATAGCTTCCACATACCTTCTTTGAAGCGGTTAAGATATCCTTGCTGATCCAGAGCTGTACCGGAGATAAGATTCAATCTAAGATCCGAAACATGTCGAACATCTTTCAACACAAGTGCACATCCGACATTGGTTGTTATGTGCACATCACCAATTCCAACAATCTTTGAGAAACTGGTATTTCCCATCTTCACACCTCCAAAGTCTCCAGACTTATAAGATGTGAATAAGTTCTGGTGTGGAGTGGCGTGAAATGATGCGGCTATATCAACCACCCACTCAACATCATGAGTACCTACGTGTAAACATTCTTGTTCACCATGTGTAACAAGTAACACGTCTGATGACAAACTAACCATGGTTGCACCATCTTCTTGGCTACTATGTTGATTCGTCGGTGGCTGTTCTTGTAGAAACTTTCTACGATCTCTTTTTCTATGCCCATAATTACTACAATAATTGCAATATCCTTTAAATCAAGTATTGTTTTCAAAG